AGAATGAGGTTCTTGAATTTCTCGAAGTCTGTGTCGGTGTTGGTTGCGTGGAGCCACTTGTCCAGGAGTCGTTCCTTTTCCCGGAGGAACTCAACATGAGTCTGGCCATCACTTTTCCACAGTTCCCTAAACTTTTTGCGGTATGCTTCGGGGACACATTCATAAGCCTTAAGTCTTAATGATTTTACTAGGTTATAGTCCCCGCGCTGTTCTGCGTTCAAAGACACAAAGACTTCGGATGTCCTTCCGGTCAAAGCTGGTTGAAATAAGGTGGACCACATAGTTTCAGGAATTTTAAAATTTTGGGCAGTTATCTCAAACTGCGCAAAATATTGGTCAACCTCTTTGTCTGTAAATTTAGGGATTACTTTTGCAAATTTAATTGCATCGCAACCCTGACCGGCTGGAGCCGTGAGTCTATTTTCCATTGCTCCTAAATTGGCCGTTATTTCCATTTGTTTTAATTTTATTTTTAGCTCTCTATCTTTTTCTTCTTTCTCTCTCTGAATTTCTAGCTCCAGCTGTTTAAGCTCTCGTTCTTTTTCTTCTGTCTCTCTCTGAGCTTCTAGCTCCAGCTTTCTAAGTTCTCGTTCTTTATCTAGCTCCAGCTGTTTGAGCTCTCGTTCTTTATCTAGCTCCAGCTGTTTGAGCTCTCGTTCTTTATCTAGCTCCAGCTGTTTGAGCTTCAGTTGAAGCTCCATACTTGGATCATTCGGTTGTGTGACTGAAGCCAGTTCATCCTCAGATAACATGTCTTCATCCACTAAGTGAACGATGATCATGTCTCGTATGGTCTTTTTAACTGCCGATTGAGCTACATTTATTCCTAGAGCTTTAGCAATGGAAAATAGCTCCTTTCTAGAACATTTGTCTAATGCCTCTACTGATGGGTTTTCAACATCAAAATCAATTTTGACACAGGCAAAATATAACAATAATTTTTATAAAAATTTAAGTTTAGTGCACACACTAATCTAATTGAATTTAAAGAAAAATTGTAACCAGCTCTGTTGTTGGTATCGTAAAATGGTATCGTGTAATCAAATTTAGCTTGAATATATTAAAGTAAACAGTGGGTCAAAATCCACAGAAAACACTCAATTTATTATTGGTGTAATAAAAATTATAAATTAAAATTATCTTCGGAAAAACAACCCAATTTGTTAGAATTGGGGTCTTGAGAAAAATAATAATATGGAGTCCGCTATATCCCGGAGGAGCAACCCAATTTGTTAAAATTGGGGTCTTATATGAGAAATAATAATAATAGTATGAATTCAGAACTATCCCGGACGAGCAGCCCAATTTGTTACGCTCTGACTTATATTGGGAGAAATTAATCTCCTAGTTTAATTTTAATTGGCTCGTTGTAAACAGTGCCTAACAAAGGACGATACCATAGAATCAACAATATTAAAGATACGACCCAAAACAGTGTCTAGTTACAATTAATAAGATTTATTAAGTCTAAAGATAATTACAAAAGAAAAGAAAATATAATTACAAACTTCAACTTACAGTATGGTAGGTCTTGTACCGGTACACAGTTAACACAGTTAGAATAATGTGCCAATAAATAATGCGAAATAAACACATATGAGCACCCAAATACACAAAGAATAAAACACGCCTCGTAATGTTAAGAAAATCTATCTGAAATCTCCGTCTCTCCGTATCTGTCAATCCTTTATATACATGTAGCGTAAGACGCTTCCAGAAGGACCTATGACGTGTTGTTTACATATCTCGGGTTAAGGATTACATTCAAGGAGTCAGAAGATACCCGGAGACATTCTACCCAATGCGTAATTGGAAGCCGATTGTAAACAAGCTACATCAAAGAGATTTAACTACGCCCACAACCGACGTTACTGTCTGCTAGGAGTGTCCTGCGACGTCGAGGAAAGTTCACGCACAGGAAATTGTGCTACATAACAAGGGGCCAGTATGGAGTAGGCAGCCAATAAACACATTCAATTAGGTCACATCATTCCTTTGCCATTTGTCTCCTTTTACTTTCTCACCTTCCTTGTTGGTACCCGTACAGTTAACTATTGTTTGTACAGTATCATTTCTTCATTTAAGTACAGACGCAATGATTGTGTGGGAGCAAATATATGTGATCTGTGAATACGAGTTTGGTTTCAAGGCAACTAAGTCCTGCCACATTGAAAATAAAATACTGATAACCTAAATAAATAGAGCCATTGAATAAAATATAGTACATACAAACCATACACAAACAGAAAGACTAAAATCCACTAAAGTTTTTTTTTTTAAATTTGTTTTGACTTTTATTGCAAAAAATTAAACATTTTATACCAATTTTGACTTTAGGCAAAATGAATAAAGACAAATTTGTATTGCATTGTATTGTAACTTATTGTACTGTATTGTAAATGAAACTTGGCATACACATTAAGAATAACATTGACAAAAAGTTTAAAGAAGATTATTATACAGCAGTTATTGGAAGTGTTACAAATGGCATGTATGTGGGGGGTCACATATTTGAGAACTCGTCAGGGGTAGCAAATGTAAAAATGTTATAAAACTTTCTAGTTTGAAATATATATAAAAAAGCCTTCTTGAATTTCGTAAACAATGTCAATGAAAAGAAGCCTGCAATGTTTGAAGGGTGTAGCTAGCATACTTTTCCTCCCGATTCATTTAACTTTCCTTAAAAATCCAGAAAATGCAAAATTGAGAAAAATGAAAAAAATATTATAAAATTGTGTTTTTTTAAATTAGAGGCTGCATGAACGATATAGGATTCATACACCATGTACATATATCCTTCATGATTTAAAAATCAATTAGAAAACTAAGACAGAAAAGATAGAAAAAAATTAACACACGAACTTAATAAATAAAATACATAAATACAAACATTCTGAAAACTTTTCCTATGAGACATTTGTTTAAAAACAATCCATCATAAAGTAAAGAATCTCAAAATAAATAAGCATGCAAAGTTTCAATTATGTAGTTCCAAAACTATTCCTCCTGATTCATCAATTGATGTCAGGAAAAAAAAAAAATGAAAATGCCATATCTATAAAATTTGAAAAAAAAAACCACTGAAACAACATTGGATGCATACATCATGAACACATTCCAAAAAAATATTGTTAGGTTTTAAGACAAAATTTGGTATCAAATGAAAGATAATTGAATGGACTATATGCACTATATGTTTGTAAACTTAATTCTTCAGTTTAACTAAAGGAACGTTAACTAAAATAAACTACCACAAATGACATCCGAATAGCATTGGTCTATTGGACCCGGGTTTGAATAGCGGCATCCATTTATTTACACACCAAAAAGTTATTATTTTCAGAACATTAAAAACATTCACATATTTATTTTATACAAGTAGTTGAAAATTGTTGGGGCAGCTATCTTTTTCTTTTCAGGGTAAAATTTTGTTTTACCTTCGGTCGCCCCTTTGGGCGAACTCTGTCAAAGTTAACCTTCCCCAAAGGCACTAAAACTATTTTCAGTTTCAATTTTTTCTAAATTATTTGCAGCAACTGTTTCCTCATGGGAAAAATGAATGTCATTTATATTAAATAAATCAATTAGTTGACTTTGAATGAAACTTCGATTAGACCGAGCAGTGTGTGCTCAGTAAATATGCATTTTTTTTTCCATTTGGTGTCAGCCGATGCGGTCCGCACCCGACTAGCTACGCCACTAGACCCAGTCTCATTCAGTCTCAGTCTCTACTTCCAGCGGCCCCGGATTATTTGAGACCCCTGCAGTAGACACACTCACACACAGGGCTACCACACCTTGGGAAATTTCCCAAGATCTTGGGAATTCACGCCCCCCCTTGGGATCTGGGGAATAATTTTGAAAATCAGGCAAAACCTTGGGAAATCTTAACTGGGGGGAACATTTTATTATATTTTTCGAAAAAACGCAACAATATCTGATAAAAAATAAAGTGAAAATAAAGCAAAATAATTTTTAAAGTAACAAGGCAAAAAATTAATTGTTTTAATTTTTCTTTTCTGGTTTTAATTTTTAAATCCACTCATAAAATAAATAAAAGCTCTTCTGATATTAAAGTTAATATTGTGAATTATTAAAAAGTTAATAATNTTTATCATTATCAACCATAGACATTAGCAACCATACGAAAAACAGCACAAGCCAAAGAGTGAACGATAGTGTTCAATCAAGAATCCATGCCATAGTAAAATTTGATTATTTCAATACTTCTACAATGTGTTCAAAATATAATGCATCTGTAAAAAATCCAGCCTAATTTTCATCAATTAGAAAAAAAAATATTTGTGGATTGAAACACACGTAACTAAGATATTAAAAGTATAGGTCTAAGTTGTAGGATTATAAATGAAAAATTCCTTTAAAATTATTATTTTTTTTGTTTGAAAAAATCGTTATAATGTAAATTTACAAGAAAAAAAAATACTTATTGTTTTCATCATAATATCAATCCATTTTAACTACAATTATTATTAATAAATTTTACTTCATTGCTTTGCAAACCCCACTTCTAATCAACAGATTTACAATAATAAAAATCATTTTTTGATGAAGAACCTTTTGTCTTTGTAAAAGGAATTCTGTGTTGATTAGCCTTGTAAGCTTTTTTTCCAAATGACTTCTATTACACATGTATTGTAGATTATATTTTTTACCAGAGAATGCAGAGGTAATATTTAGTAGCCTAACTCCAGTGGGTATAGATATTTTGGATTATAAATAATTTTTACAAATTGTTTTGTTTTTTTATGTGCTAAACATTTTTTAAATGTCTTTTTCAATAAATTTCAGTCAATTAATGTATCATGTTTTTTAGGGCCATTGATTCAATCTATTATTAAATTAATTAAATAGAAAACCCCCCTTTTAAAAAAAAACTCTTATATATTTTATGATCTTGGGAAATCTTGGGAAATTCGTTCACCAAATCTTGGGAAATTTTAAAAAAGTGAGTGGCAGCCCTGCTCACACACAGCAGATATTGTAGTCACGTGATATTAAACAGGTCAAGATGGCGGATCCTTCTCTTTGTGGTATGTTTTCTAGTCTAAAATATTTCAATGTTATATTGGCCGAACTCATTAAACTATGGGCATATTCCTTTAAAATTTTATTCTAGTGTACAACCTCTATATTATTATAATGAACACTATAATTTTAGCGATACTCTTTACGCTAGAAAACACACTACACTTGACCTGCCTAAACTTAATAAACACTATGGCACTATGGACCATAGATTATAGTTTATAGATGGAGTACTATTACTATGACTTAAACGGCCTCTTGCGGACAGTCCCGGACTGTGATCTGGGCTGATATTAAGGAGGGATGCCACGGTGTCTTTTGTGTGTTTATTATAGTTGCAGTGAATTAGGGTTTAGATTAGGTTGAGGGATCGATTTAGGGTTCAGGTTAGGCATAGGGATCGATTTAGGGTTTAGGGGATCTATATTATTTAGTATTTAGGGATACATTTGTGAAATTCGATTAAAATGTGGCATTGGTCATTGGTCCTTAAAATTTACCGAGTGTGGACTGTGGAGTTACGTCGTGTGTTGGGACTACGTGTGTTGTGTTTGTAGACTCGACTGAATCGTGTTTGAGTTGTAGACTTGACTGAATTATACTTTATCTATAGACTTAATAATAATAATAGTGTATAGTATAGGCTTCTATAGGCATAGGCCCTACTCAATCAATAGGACAATAGTAGGCAATCCTTCGAAGTCCGGTCCCAAATTATTTCGTATGTAAAAAAATTGCAATGCACAGTGTGTATTGTTAAAAAGCAGCAGTAATGTCAGTCATAGTTTTTGCAAATAACAGCCAGTTTACAAATCATTGAGTAAATACTAAATATTGTAATTGGTGCATAGCATTTGCAAATAGCAGCCAAAAACGTTCTGCTTGTGATTGTTGCGCCACTGAAAGGCCCCCCCAAGTAGCTGGCAAACAGATCGCGACTAGTCCCACTCTAATAGCGGAGTTTACGCTCTGCTTGCATCCAAAGTCATTCAATATTTTCTGTGTCAATGTCCTGGTCTACTGTCTACTGGGTCAAAAAATTCACGCGCATGCACAATGACTGCGTGAGCATCAATCCCGTTGTTGAGTTGACCGACATTCTGATATCCTCGCCAAGCGTCCTCCGTGACGGTAGTTGTTCCTGGTAACACGTGATTAGTGATAATGCGCTCTAGTGTTTGTGCATCTCGACGGCCAACAACATCCACCCAACATCGTCCACTACCGCAAACATGAATTTTAAGACAAAATGATGCCTAAGACTTTTAAGTAAGGAGTATTCATTGGAAATAATTTGGGACCGGACTTCGGAGGATTGCCCAATAATAGGTACTTGGGTAAAATTTTCGAAATTAAGTTAAAGCTTTAAGAGCTAGTTGGTTAGATAGGGCCTGAAAAATGTAATTCATTGATACCAAATTTATGTTTGTAGGTCAATTCTAAAGAAAGTTATGAATTTTTTCGTGCATTATTTTGGGATAACTCTTTTAATTGAGACATATGGGAAAATATAAAAGTGACTAAAATAAAAATTGGACAGAGAGTTGGGAGAGATGTTAAAAAAGAGCAGTAAATTGAAGTTATTTAATGAATTAATTAATTAATGAAGATAAACATAACAAACCATATATATCCGTGATCGTCGTACCATTATTCAAACAGATGTTATATAATAAATTCTACAGTACGCAAGATGAGCTCATTAATATTCTAAATGGCCGTAAAATTTCCATATGTCGTATTTGAATATGAACCCAAGGTGAACAATATTCTTCAAAATATAGGGTCATATATATCAAATTGTTTGTATTGAAAAGGGGAAAAATAATAAGTAGCATATGGAAGGGTGAACCAATGTGTCCATTAAAAAAATTAATTTATTTTATATCTCCGATAGCAAATCAAAATTTGAAATTAAATGTAAAATATGTAGATTATAGTAGGAGTTTTTCTTGCATGGGGCTATCTTTCAATTCTATAGTCTTTTTGCTAAGTGTAGCATTAGTTTTTCATAGAATCCCTACAATTAAAAAAGAATTGTGCTGCTTCAATTATTGCCTAAAAATTGCAAATATGATAAACATTATGATGTCATTTGATACGCCTTTAAACAAATAAAACAAAGTATTTTTGTGTGTCTGAAGCATTTCAAAGTATCAATTTATCTAAATACTAAACAAATCTGAATTTTAAATCTATCATGTAGATAAAATATACTTTTCTTCATATTTCTATGCTACAAATGTGTCAAGATAGCTTAGACCAAACTCCGTAATAGGCCTATTATATGGGAAGCGTTATACGCAGTTGGCTGGGAATTAGCCAAATAAGGTTTATTACCGCTAGTTTAGCAATTTAATAAAAATTATTATGCATAATTAGCTGCTTTATGGATTGTTTTGAACTATAACTTTTAATGTGTTTAACGGAAAATTTTAATTAATATTGAATGATAGTAATAGTATTAGTGCTATTATTAGTATTATTGCTTGTATCTTATATATTATAAGTCTAAGTCAAAGTCTAAATTTCTTAGAGTCTAAGCTTTAGAAGATGATTTTTTAAAAGGCATTTCCATGGTCTAAGTCTGGTTCTGTATTCTGATTGATTAGGTTTTTATATGTTGCTATGACCTGACCATGTCATGTGGTTGGTTTTACTGACTGATTCAGGAAATACATTCTATTTATTTTTTTAAAAATTATATCAATTATGATTTTTTTTTTTGGTGACCTAAATGTAACAGTTTTCAGCTTCCATGCAAAACTATAACTGTGTGAAAGTATTAATTAAAGTGCTCCCTCTACAGAACCCCCTGCCCCTACAGCTATTTTTTTTTACTGCTACTCTCCACTGACCACTCCTGATTATAATTACTGTACCAGAGAAACATGATTTTATCTGCCACAAAACTAGTTAACAACACAAAAAATATGTTATCAACACAAACATATATTATGATAATCATAAGAATAACATTAACATTATTAACATTACATTGGTTAATAATTCTTATCAGGTTTTGACATTTTTTAGCCAAAACAAAAGTTAAAAATAAGGCTAACTTTATTCTCGAGAACAAACATAACACCTAACACGTACATTCATGACTGGCCTTTGGCTGGAATTGAGCTCCTGACCACCAACTTGAGGTTTGCTCAGTTAATACTATTCGACCACCCGGTCACACTGGTAACGAGGCACCTTTATCGATCGATAGTGTAACACAGGAAGAATATAGACCTCACGTGACTGCTGACTGCCTTTAACTCTCAGGGTTATACGCAGTCGGCTGCGCATAACCACTTCACTATTATATAAGAGTGGAAGTTTCACTATTTAAATAAAGAAACAGAATTAAATATCTATTCATATGCCATCTTTGTTAATAATATTAACCTTAAATAACTTAAAATAGTGCTTTTAACTTTGTTTATTAATCAGATTACTGAAGATTTAAAAAAGATTTGCTGAGATGGATTCGGCCATCTTGAAAATGATATCCATGGAAGAAACGCCCATGTGGTGACTGTTTTGAAAATTTAATAAAATTGTTGGGGTAGGTTGGGGGGGATCTTTAAATTTGCCCACTCTTGTAGATAATTGGATGCTCTAAACAGTGGTTATCATGAAAATCGAGTCTGGTGGAGTCTCTACAAGAAATGAAATAGTAGACTTAGCTTAATTCAACTTGATATTTATATCACGCAGGGAAAGTATTGCCCAGTTCATTGATTACTAGTTACTAGTTCGTACTAGTGACAACAATAACATCCCTGCTTGATAATGAATCCTGAAAGTTGAAAGAAGCTTAGGTGTAAATTGCTATTTGGATACTTTCAAAGATTGGGAAAATGCCATGAATGCTTTTAAGATTTTAAATCACCAAACAAACCTAAACTCAACACCTGCCATAATTCCCATATAAACTATCCAAATTATTGTCAATTTTAAATTCTAGAAATTTTAATGTCCAACTATCTTTGTGTGTGCTGATTATTATGATTATATTTAGTAATTAAAATATAGGCCTAAATATGTCTATAATTACCATAATAATAGTTTTACTATATACAAAGTGTGCATATTAAAAAAAATCGCTTTTGAGTCACAACGTTTGCACCCATATTTGCAACATGGCTGTCAATGGTATTAGTATTAGCACCCAAAGCTACATTTCCACAGTGTTTTGACTTTTCTGGGCAAAGTTCCTCAGCCACCACCAACAAACATTACTTCACTACTTCACAATTTGTTTACAATGTGCCAATTTTAGCCAACAAGTAGGCAACTTTATAACTGGATTTAGTTAAGGATCCATTTTCATTTGAGGATTTATTGAACAATTTTCTCTGAGATGTAAATTGATTTTGTAATTAGAAAAAATTTCGGCACAGACTTTATCCTCAAAAGATAATAATTGATGGACCTTACTTTCAAACTGTGCATGTTTCTCCTGATGTTTACTTTGATGATGACGGTGCAGGTTGTATTCTTTCAATAAAGCCACGGTTTCATTGCATTATATAATCTCATTGACTGAACGGAAGTAGAAAACTAAGCAGCAAATAAGCTTTTGCAATGTAGTGATCGGTTGGAAAACATAATACACTTCTGCCTCCAATTTAATTCGGTAAAAACATAACGTCCACGTTAGCGGCGGGTGATCTTGGCAGGACACGCGTAAATTTCCGTAGACAAAAAGGACTCCACGGGCCGAATGAGAGGGCCTCGCAAGCCGCATGCGGCCCGCGGGCCATAGTTTGGAGACCCCTGATTTACACAATTGAGAATTTGTTGCCTTATAAAGTGGTAATAAGGGGATAGACCGCAATCAGGTTAGCAAAAAGGGAAAGAGTAAAACGTTCATTTCATGTGGTGTCAAGGTTCCATAAGTATGGATAAGCTTCTTTTCCAAATTCACTGCACATTTACCCAAATTTTGTAACAAAAGCCTAGAATCAGAAGGAGTCAAGATAGGCTAACCCTTAAAAACTATAGCATTGGTCTACATTATGATTTTTTTTATCATCATAACTATAACATTTGACAAAACAGACATCACATTCACATACAGAATCAAGTGGCACCTACACTCATCTTTAATTTTAAGTCATTTAATGAAAGTAAAAAAAATAGCATAGCCTATTCAAAGTATGAAATGCATAATAGCAAAGTATGTCGAATTATATTTATAACTACGTCTACATTAATTATATTAAGCGCTACATTAATTAAATTCATTCATCAGTGTACTTAGAATAGCTAGTTGAGCATTTATTTTCAATTTTTGGTCTATCACTGGTATCGCTATATATTTTTTGGCAAAAAAAAAGGGTTGATAGCTAGTGTGTTATGAATTGGTTTATAGCTGGGGTGGGTAGAGGGTTTTAAACAGGTTGGTAGCTAGAGTGCTATAAAAGGAATCCAAAGGGGTAGGTGGCAAGATTTAATTTTTGTGTTATTAATATTATTATTAAAGTGGTTTTATAGTGTGGTAAACCAGCCTAGGGCTAGGCTCATCGCGCTTCTTATAAAAATTAGCAAAACGAAAGAAAGAAACATGACATTAAAAAACAGTTACATAAATTATTCATTTAAAAACTGCTGTGTAAAAATATTGACCTTGCCCACCCAAGTACTATTAACCCCTGTGTTATAGGCGTCTTGTTTACTTTCATTCATCTTTTCTGGTAAATGAACTTAAGCTGACCGCAAGTTCGGCAGCACTTTTAGTGTGTGGCTAATTAAAAATAGTCTCCCTTGACCTCAATTAAAAATAAATACAATCTATAGACTTTATTATTACTAGAATACTTTAGGATATACTAGATTGGTCGAGGCGCTTATGCAATGTGTAAGCCCTTTTGAGAGATATCTATGAAACAGGCTATATATATACGCCTAGAGAGATTGAGGGACAGGGAGATCAGGCGAGAGATATTTTGGGAACTATTACCATAGAGATTTTTCTGTATGAGATTTGCTTACTAGCATTTGCTGTGTGTGTGTAGATTCCTTTTCATCATTGTACCGGTACCTTTTTACAACATTGTATCTTCTTCAACATTGTACCGGTACAAGCCAATCAATATTCTGTAAGCCAATAGCTTTAATTTTATTTTATTTTAATTTTGTAATTCATTGTTAAAATTATAAAATTTATTAATTGTAATTAGTCCTGATTTGGGCATTATACTCTTTGTTATTGTATTTAACATATGGTATCGTCTTTTGTTGTGTACTGTTTTAGAACAAGCCATTTAATTAAATAAGAGATTAAATTCTCCATACTGATAACAATGCGTAAAAAAATAGTGGACTACTTGAATCCATATTTGTATTTCTTATTACACTAATAATAAGATAATAAATTGAGTGTTTGTCTGTTTGACCCATTTTTCACTTTAATATACTCTGACTAAAGATACCATTTTATGATACTAGATACTAATAACAGAGCTAGTTACAATTGTTTTAAAATTCAAATTTTATAAGTTGGTTCATTAAGCTTGAACATTTATAAAACCGAGTGTTATATTTGCCTGTGGCAAAATGAATTTTGATGTTGATAACCCATCATTTGAGTATTAGACAAATGTTCTAGAAAGTAGCTATTATCCATTGCTAAAGATTTAGGAATAAGTGTAGCTCATTCAGTGTCAAAATAGAGGGTACGAGATATGATCATCGTCTACGTAGTGGATGAGGACATTTTGTCTGGGGATGAACTGGCCTCAGTTACTCAGCCAAATGTTCCTAGTATGGAGCTCCAACTGAAGCTCAAACAAAAGGAGCTAGATGCTCAGAGAGAGAAAGATGAAAAATATAGAAAACTACAAATAAAATTAAAAGAAAGGAAAATAAGGCAAATTTGGAAGCAATGGAAAATAGACTCATGGCTCCTGCCAATCAGGGTTGCGATGCAATTTAATTTGCACAAGTAATACCTAAATTTGCAGAAAAACAGGTTGACCAATATTTTGCACAGTTTGAAATAACTCAAGATTTTTAAAATTCCTGGAAATATGAAGTGTACCTTACTGCATTACTGCAGCCGCTCTGACGGGGCAGCCGAATTTTTTGTGTCTTTGCACATGGAACAGAGCGGGGACTATAAGCTTGTAAAATCCTTAATACTTAAGGTTTATGAATGTGTCCCCGAAGCCTACCATAAAAATTTAGGGAGCTGTAGAAACGTGATGGCCAAACTCATGTCGAGTTCCTACAGGACAAGGATGTCTCCTTGAGAAGTAGCTACACGCAATGAACACCGACACAGACTTAAAAAATTTCAAGAACCTCATTCTGATGGAGGAGTTCAAGAGTTGTGTGCATGAAGAGGTACGAACACATTGCAAATCGTTGCGAAGGTGATGCGCAAATGGCAGCAGTGTTAGCTGATGACTTCACCATCTCACATCAACTCTCAAAGAACCCATTTGACACCAAAAAAGACAGGCACAACAGAGCAACAGCTGGACTAACCTCCACCAAAATCATACAAGCCCGGTACAAAAGAAACATATGCAAAAGACACATGCTCCTACTGTAAAAACGGACATATGAGGGATGTGGAACCTCAAGAAGAAAACTGAGAAGACCACACATCCTAGTTCACCACACAAAGTCTCCACTTTACGTCTCGTCATACATCTGGAAACACATTTTCAAAATACTAAAGGTTTTGCTCACCAGATGTCCATACAAACTGCAAAGAGGTTTGTCACGACTCATCAAAGAATTTCATTATGAACAATAAGACTAGTTTTACTGACTCCAGCCAAGTTCCTGCTTCGACTGAGAGTTTTATGAGTTTTTCGCCAAGATCCTTTTGCTCAAAGAAGAAGTCTACCCCCAGAGGGCATCTTACCGAGGACTTGTGTGCAAGTTTTGACGACTCTACACAGAGTTTTACTTCCTCTACCCTAGCCAAATGTTCTCAAGATCCCAACAAGAGTTTACCTACCAGGGTCCAAAATTCTACATTCTAAACTACTTATATCATACAAGACTTCATGCCTTTCATATTCGAAGGTGTATCACTGCCAGGTGATTTTTTCCAGTCTCTAATCAATCAAACTTTTATGAGATACAGTTGTTTCACAGTCCTTACTACTTGAGGGTATACTTCCAGTATTAAACAGAAACTCATCCCTCTCCCCCATACACAGCGACGAGGCCATGACAGGCTATTCGGGCTCAGACCAGCAAGAAGCCAGTATAGGAACTGCTCATTCCTGCCCAAGACAATCAGGGACTGGAACAAGCTTTCGAAAGGAACAGTTGAGGTGACAACACTAGACACATTTGTGTCTAATTTGTGTCTATTGCCTCAAGCCTTCAAACCCCCAGTGCATGATTCCCTCACAAAGTGGCACTTGCAATCAGTGAAATTTCCTCGTTAACACCAGGCACAGAAACATTGCAAATCCCCTCTACGTACATGGGAGCCAAAATGATAAATAAATTGAGAGTGGGCCCTTAATATATAGAAGAAGAAGAAGAAGAAACTATTGCTACTGGGAGCAACATCCTGTTATGAGGCATTGATGTACCTTTACATCTCATCAATCTCAGATCATACCTTGTCTCTCGACCTGTGGTTGTGGGGATCCGATTAACGTTACCATTGGACGGCATCTTGTTGCTGCTAGGCAATGACTTAGCTGGTGGGGATGTGATAGTCGAACCCATCGTAACTCATGAATCTGAATCTCAAGAAGAAGATCCAGAATGAAATCCAGCATGTGCTGTTACCAGGGCCATGAGTTTCAAGATCTCTGAAAAAGAGATCTCACCAATAAAGTCAATCCTGACATTGATCTGGGAACAACCTTTTTGCCAGTCTTAAGGAAGAGTCAAATGATCACAAGACACCAACTCGAATGCAGTTTATTGAAGAGCAGAAGAATGATCCAGAAATTTTTAAACTTTGAGAGAATGCTCTGACCCAAGAAGAAGCTGAGCAATTCCCTGTACGGCATACTATTACCTACAAGATGATATACTTATGAGAAAATGGCGACCTCCAGACTCAAAAGCTGACAAAAAATGGAGGATAGTTCATCAGATAGTAGTTCTTACACTTTTCTGGAACGAAGTCCTGAACTTAGCCCATGATTCACCACTTTCAGGCCATTTGGGAGTAAACAAGACATATCACAAAATCACGTTGCACTTGTTTTGGCCCAAAATCAAGAAAGATGTGGTTGAATACTGCAGACCATGTCGTACTTGTCAAATGGTAGGGAGACCAAATAAAAAGATACCAGCAGCTCCTCTTCAACCCATTCCAGCATTTGAAGAACCTTTCAGTCGCTTTATAGACTGAGTTGGACCTCTGCCAAAGACAAAACCAGGTCACCAATACTTGTTGACAATCATGTGTGCATCAACAAGTCTCCCAGAAGCTATTCCTCTTTGCATTATCAAGACTCCGAACATCGTCAAAGCTGTGACGAAGTTTTTTACATTGTTTGTTCTTCCGAATCCTGTACACTCTGACCAAGGAACCAACTTCAAGGCTGGACTATTCAAACAAGTGATGATACAATTGGGCATAGAACACCACTTGTCGAGTGCATATCATCCTTAGTCGCAGGGAGCACTTGAGCGATTCCATCAGACATTGAAGAACATGATGAGAACGTACTGCCTGCAATAAAAGAAAGACTGGGATGAAGGAATCAACATGCGACTGTTCGCCACAAGAGAAGCAGTTCAAGAATCACTTAGATTCAGCCCCTTCGAACTGGTTTTTGGCCATACGGTTAGTGACCCCCTTAAACTTTTAAAAGACACATGTTTGTCATCAACACCCACTGAATGACTTTTGGACTACCTGGTATGTCTTAAAGTTTAAAACTAAACTTTTTAATGCCGTTAATTTGGCTCAGTCACATTTAAAAGATTCTCAATCTAAAATGAAAGTTTGGTATGAAAAAAAGTCCAAATTCAGACAGTTTGCTTCAGGGGACAAAGTGCTTGTACTTTTGCTGATACCAGGGCAGGCACTACAAGCTAGATATTTTGGTTCTTATGTAGTTGAGTCCAAATTTAATGATTTAAATTACATTGTGTTAACACCAGATCGTAAAAGAAAGAAACATGTATGTCACATTAATATGTTAAAAGAATATGTTGAAAGAAAATGTTATGATTATTGTCCATCCTCATAAACTAGTATTAACACAATCTCAACTGTAACCTCAGTACTTAAAGAAAATGTACTGAAACCTTTGATACTGTCCGAGGAAAAAGTTGGTCATTATAAACTCAAAAATTCAGAACTACTGGCCAACTTAGATAAGAAACTAGGACATTTGTCATTGTCAGAGAAGGATGTTGTTCAGTCTGTTACTGCAGATTTTGTTTTACTCTTCCCTGATGTGCCTAATAAAACCATCATTGCTGTACATGATGTTGACTATGGCAATCCAGTTCTGGTCAAGCAACACCCCTAAAGGATCAATCCAGAAAAACTTGAAATAATCCGATCTGAAATAAAATACATGCTTGAAAATGATATTGAGTCAAGCAATAGTAACTGGAGTTCTCCATGCATTTTAATCCCAAAGCCTGACAAAAGTTACGAGGTTTTGCACTGATTTCAGGAAAGTAAATTCAGCTACAAAGTCTGTTTCCTTTCCGATTCTAAGGATAGAGGGTCTTGTGGATCGAATAGGTGATGCCCAATATGTGACCAAGATAGACCTACTATCGGGTTATTGGCAGGTTCCTCTATCTGACAGAGCAAAAGAGATCTCTGCTTTCTGTATTCCAGATGGTCTATATCAATATAAAGTAATGCCATTTGGAATAAAAAATGTCCCAGCTACATTCCAACATATAGTTAATAACATTATTGCTGACCAGGAAAATTGCAGCGCCTATATTGATGATGTAATTATTTACAGTCAAGAATATTTAGGTCACATAGTGGGTCAAGGTCATGTAAAGCCTGTTCATCACAATAAATCACATCACTTCCACCACCCACTTTTAGGAAACAGCTAATGATATTTTTGGGAATGGCAGGTAACCGTACTATAGAAAATTTTGCAAAAAATTCTCAGTTATTGCCTCTCCACTAAGTAATATTTTTAAAAAAATGCAAAATTTCATTGGTCAGATGCTTGTCAGGAAGCATTCGAAAACATTAAAAATATACTTGCTAATGCTCCTGTTCTCATTGCACCAGACTTTAACAAATAGTTTAAATTAGCTGTATGTCTGCATTGGTGCAGTTCTTTTTCAAGAAGATTACCACAGTGCGATATTTCTCTAAGAAATTTAACTCCCATCAGAAAAATTATTCCACAGTAGAAAAAGAAGATTTAGGTTTAATTCTTGCTCTGCAACAATTTGATTTCTATGTCAGTTGTTCCTTACATTCATTACTTGTTTTTACTGATTCAAATCCTTTAACATTTTTGAATTAGATGGTCTCCAAAGATTGTTAAGATGGAGTCTATTTTTACAAGACTATAATTTGGACATAAAACATATTAAAGGCAAAGATAATGTGATTGCTGATACTTTATCCAGAAATTAATTTTCACTGTACATATAACTTATGTTATTGTTTATAAGCTGTTAAGTAGCTTTTTGTCTGATATTTTGAAGGGAATAAATTTTAATGTATTTTCTTTTACTTCTTTAATAGAAAAAGAATTCTATTTTGACAAATGAATTTTTTTCTTTTTAAGAGGGTAGGTGCTATAGGCGTCTCATTTACTTTCATTCATCTTTTCTGGTGAATGAACTTAAGCTGACTCCCAAGTTCTGCATCACTATTAGGGTGTTGCTAATTAAAAATAGTCTCCTTTGACCTCGATTACAATAAATAACATCTATATACTTTAGAATTTACTAGATTGGTCGAGGCTCTTGAGCAATGTGTAAGTCCTTTTGAGAGATATCTATGAAACAGGTTATATATACGCCTAGAGAGATTGAGCGCAGGAAGATGAGAATAGAGTTATTTTGAGAAATATTACCATAGAGATTTTTCTATACGAGATTTGCTTACTAACTTTTGCTGTATGTGTGTAGATTCCTTTTCATCATTGTACCTTTTTACAACAATGTTTCTTCTTCAACATTGTACCGGTACAAGCCAATCATTATTCTGTAAGTCAATAGCCTTAATTTTATTTCCTTTTGATTTTATAATTTATTATTAACAAATAAAATTTATTAATTGTAATGAGCTCTGGTTTGGATATCGTATTCTTTGTTATTCTATTTAACATATGGTATCTTCTTTTGTTGTGTACTGTTTTAGAATGAGCCATTTAATTAAATAAGAGATTACTTTCTCCATACTAATAACAGTACGTAACACCCTGTCTAACCATGGACGGCACCCAGCAGCATCTAGCATTGTTTATCGTTCAGAGGGGGGTGAGAAGGAGTCAGAATAGTAGAGTTTGAAGAGATGTGTCTTGAGTGCAGTTTTGTTAAATGATTTTGGAAGCACACCCATTAAACTTGCATTTAAAGTATATAAATGTAAAAGAAAGGAAAAAGTTAGGAAAAGCGGATGGTATTGTTCAGTAATAATTATACACAAGTAGGGGAATGTTAGCAGTATAAAATTATATATACTCAGCTAAGTAGTTGTATATTAGCAGTATTTTCTAATATATACAATATAGTCACTGATAATGTTAGCATTGTATAATTATATATAATATATGTAATGGGGTGTTAGAAAAATGAATAAACATGTCGATCAAAATACAGATTTAAAAAAGGTTAAAAAATGATTTTATACATGCACATGATAATATTTCTGCAACATACATACCGGCACATATGTTATGAGGTTGATATATTTTCAAATTTACTTTTTTAGAACACCCATTTGTTTCTATATTACAAGAACTTGAAATCGGCAATGAGAAGTTTCAGTACTTTGATACTGCTCAATTAGGGCAAGAAAAATTAGGTAAGTATCTAATTTGGAATGTTAATATGATTTTTTTATCTAGCCCATAATTGGTTTTAGAAATATGGCTTTAAACGAAAAAAATGGTTTAATAGGCTTCATTTTAATTATTCTATTACTTGCCATATAAGACCTTATGCTGAGCTAGGTATTTTTTTGCCATCCGGGTTCCTTAACTGCTTACAGGCAGTTGCAATATTTTAAGTTTAAGATGTCTGATGTTTCTTTTTAACCACAATATAAAAATTATAATTTAATACATTATAATAAAAAAGGGATAATGTTAACTTACTATTTCTTCTTTTTATATGGATATATTGCTATAGGTGTCAATCCATATTCTGCCCACATGCAAAACAACATCACTCCAGTTCCTTTTACTTTTTTATTATAATGTAACTGATAACATTTTTAGTTAATTCTTGTGATCACAGGGGGGAATGGGATCCAACATATTCATATGTGCACATATTTTTTTGGATAAAACTGAATGATGCCACTGTCCTGGATCTATGAAATAACTTTACTATGAGCACTAATTTTAATTTAATATAAAAATATACACTATAGTGCTTTAAAATTTGACAATGTTCTCATTTTTAAAAAGGCCATAACTTTCTTTAAATTTGAGATACAGATATATATTTGGTAATTCCGTTCTGATGAAGCCAAGCTCTATTCATGGAATAGTTGAAATTCATTTAGATTCATGATGAAAAGTTTATTTAGAGTACCTTATTTTATCTTTTAAATTTATGTATAAAGAGGAGATTGAATAATGTATCTTTTAATTTAATATCCATGTAATATATCAATATTTAATAATATGATCAGTTAAACAATTGTGTTGATATTATCTTAATGAATAATTTGATACTCTTTTTGGACAGAACGACTTCCTTATACCATTAGAGTACTGCTGGAATCTGCTGTACGAAACTGTGACAACTTTCACGTCTTGCCTGGAGATGTTAACAAAATTCTTGAATGGCGGACCCTTCAGTCTGCACAGGTTGAGATTCCTTTTAGACCTGCACGAGTCATCCTCCAGGATTTCACGTATGCTTCTTAAAAATTTAATTTTTGCTGTCTCAAAGCCTACAATGTTTCATTATCACACTTGTCTCTTGTCCCAACATTCACTGTTTTATCACCCTCTATGTTTCTTGCAGACCTGCTTATTCTTATGATTTTGGCATACAATGTACACTTTTGAGATGTCTTTTACGATTGTACGCTGAGACTGCCAGAAGTACTATTTTAAAAGACCCAGTTAAAATAAAAATTCTGTTTTTTTTCCTGATTAAAAATAATATTAGATTTTCTGATTTTGAAGTTTTAGCACTTTCTACAAATATCTGTCAGTGAATGGACAGAGAAAAACTATTGGTTGTAATTTGTTCATAGTGTTGCTTTGTGTGTCATAATGAACTAGCTAGATGTGGCAACAGCAGTCTACAATAAAAAATTTAGTTTGCAATGAGCCTGGAAAAAATTTTAAAATCTCCTATGACGCGCTAATAAGACGACACCCCATTTTTCTCTTGAAATATTTGTTTAAAATTGTGGCTTCAAAACGAATATATACTGTAATTATGGGCTGATAGTGTTTTACTAGACCCTTTGTAAGTGTTCATTAAGACCCATATGAAAGATTGTAAATTTCCTTGAGGGGGCTTTAAAATCTAAATTCTTTTTTCAAAGTACAACAGTATTTGTTAATTTATATCATTATTTAGTTGTTATCAAATATTAAAGGGTAATAATTTATTAACGCAGATGTAAAAATTTAAGTGGTAGGACTACAGCTATTTTTAAATACATTTTTAACCTCACATCATATTGGTTGCTGTACCATTTGTTGAAATTATTTCACTTTGAGTTGACTTGCTCTCCAAGAAAGCTGTTTTACTTGGATCATGAAGCTATTCCCACCAGAGAGATATTTTTTAAAAAGTATATTTTTTTTATAAATTAGGGCTGAATGGGGTGCTGGCTTGGAAACATGGAAATGCAGAGTATTATACACCCTGAAAATACCCAGACCAGGACAACAAATCAGAATAGGATCCAAGTTTTAAAAAATTTAAAAAAACCCATTATTTTCTGCATATTGGTATAAGGAAAATGCAAACAACTGCCAATCAATGACCAGCAGCACTTACTCTCTGCTTAATATTTGATATTTGTTAAGGGTTATATGCTGTTAAGGTTATGCAGCCTCCAACTTTGAAAACCTAAATGATTCTATGCATGAAGTTTTCTCCATTTCGTTAACACATTTCTCATTTTCTATAGATAATTCCTTAATTGTAATAACAGGATCCAGTCTCTAGTTATGTTCTCAAAATACCTGGCCCTGGTAGGGGGAACAAAAATTATTGCACCTGTCCCAGCCCTAGTATAAACCTTTTATTATAAAACTATTTGACCAGAAACTGTTTTCTCTGATGTAAAGTAATTGTTGATACCTTACTTCAGAGGTGTTCCAACCGTTGTTGACTTTGCTTCTATGAGGGATGCTGTTAAGCGACTTGGTGGTAATCCAGAAAAGATCAATCCAATCTGCCCAACTGACCTTGTCATTGACCACTCAGTTCAGGTGGATGTGTCTCGTAGGTATGTCACTGTGTCTTTTCGGGCATGTTATTGTGTCTTATAGGTATATTATTTTGTCTTTGAGGTATTTTTAGGTTTATCATGTCTTATAGTTAAGATTTTGTCACTATGTATAAAGCTGTTATCAACAGTTTCTGCTGGGTTCTGTCATTTGTTACACTATATTGAAATTTAGTCTTTCTTGGTGAAATACTTTAAGTTGTCTTTTACTTCTTAATTTACTCAGAGCATTAGAGGGAGTCCTCTTGAGATCACTGTTCCTGACATACCTTGTTAAACTCAAGTTGTTGAAATTCTCTATAGAAGTTTATTCTTATTTATTGTATTAATAGAAAAAGAGAAGTCATTTTATCAATTCTAACCAATTCTGACATAACTCAGTTCAACAACTGTCATCATTCCAAAATGTAAAAAAATAACAACTGTCACAAATCTGAAATAATTAAGTTTAACAACTGTAATAATTAAAAAATCATTCTTTGACAACTGACTCCTGCTTTAAATAAAAATTTATTTTGATAGCTGACAATAAACTTGAAAGCATCTGTAAACTATGACTTAAAAAAGAGACCTTCACTGGCTGTGTAGTGTGTCAAACAAAGGCATTGATGTTTCTGTTTCTTATTTTATACTGGGCATGAAGGCATGAACAAAACAAACGGTTTTACGTGGCTCGTTGAACATAGCAAACTTACATTTTAACGTGGCATATTGAACATAACAAACTTATGTTTTACTTGACACATTGAACATAACAAACTTTAAGTTTTTAATTGGCACATTTAAATAACAAACTTACGTTTTTACTTGACACATTTCTCTGTGGCATATTGAACATAACAAACGTACATTTTTACGTGGCATATTGAACATAACAAACTTATGTTTTTCTGTGGCTTATTGAACAGAACAAACTTAAGCTTTACTTGCCTGTCTAAGTTTTTTTAACTAGAAAAGATCAAACCTGAAGTAAGGTGACATAAATAGTCAATTTTTCTGTATCTGCCCTTTTTGTCTTTTTGTTTGGCTTTTAGAAAATGCTCTACAGATGTTAGATGTATTTTATTGTTATAATTCCTAAATAAAAATCCAAGCCATCCTCTCATACGTGTTTTCCATTGTCAATTGTTTTTTTTTTACTTCCTGTGGCATCAGTGTTTTGTTTTTTTTACTTTATTGTAGCACAACAATATTGGGGTGGAGGTACACATTTTTGAACAAAGTTAATTACTGTAGTAAAGTAAACTTGTTTAAATTAAGTAAATTAATTACTAAAATAAAGTAAACATGTCAAAATACAGTAAATGAAATACTTAAATAAATTAAACATGTTTGAATAAAGTAAATTATTTGACATGTTTACCTGCACTTATCCTAAGAGTTACTTAAGTTTTAATTTTGACCTTTTCAGTCTTGTACATTTTTGAAACTACTTTTGCCATATAATTTGTTTTTGCCCCTGTAAACCCCCTCTATCTATATCATATTATAAGTCATAGCTAAAGAATTAAAGCTCCGTTATACCCTCTTGACCTAAAAATATCATGTTAAAGATTCACCCACTCACACCCCTTCAATGTGTATGACATTGTTTATGATGTGAAAAATAAGACAATGATAAATGACATTGTATTTGTATGCTGATATGGAAACTAAGACTAAGATTGTGGTCCTCACATTGTAGTGTACCACCCAATGATATTTTGTGTAGGTTTTGGTCCTCATAATTTTACATTGCTTTGTAACCATATGGCTAGTTAACTGATTAGTTTCTATATGGACCAATTTTAATATTATGTGTCTAATTAAGTTTTCTAATTGGCTAATATACAATTACAAATTGTAATGATCATAAACAGATTTGCTTTTTCATTTTCTATTGTATTAACTTGTTATTTTCTAATCAGCTTTTATAATTAGATAGACTAGTCTATTTTAATTTTAAATGGGTCTGTTCAGAATGATATTGGTTGTTAAATAAAGTTTCTAAATAGCTTGCTATCTACTTTCTTAAATTAAAAATAACCGATATAACAATAACTTAATAACCTTACTAAAATTAAGTGTAGCTTTTTGAATAAATTCCTTTCAGCTTTAAACATTACCACATCCTTTTCCTAAAACCTCCTTGAAACGAGATTTTGATAAACCTCTCTCTTTGTCAGTCACAAGATTTCTCTTATAGAAGTGTGACAAAATTCACTAAATAAATATTTCCATTTTCTACTTGTGCAGATCTATCATAATTCTCACCATATAAATCTTTCCAAATGCTTAAAATATTATTTTAGCCTAATAAAGTGTAAACTTCTTTACTTGTTAAAAAAAAATTACAACTGCTCAGCTGTCTGGCTATCACTGCCTTGCTGTCCAAAACTGTTGACGACAATCCAATACTGTATAAATTGACGTTTATTTTTTTTAAGCAAAACAAAATTGATTCCCAAATTTCACACCTTTGAGTCCCTTTCCACTGCACATTACCTTTACACATGTGTATCACACTTTTGAGTCCTTTTCCACAGCCCATTGCACTTACATATGTGTCACATTTCTGTCCTTTCCACAGCACAATAAACTTATACATATGTCACACACCTTTCTGTCCCTTTCCATATCACATGACACTTAAAAATGTGTCACACACTCTCTGCCTCCTTCCACAGCATTCCACACATTTACACGTCTCACACACTTTCTGCCTCCTTACACAGCACACCACACATACACATGTGTCACACACTTTCTGCCTCCTTCCACAGCACTCCACACATACACACGTGTCATACCCCCAATCCGGGGGGAGGTGCTGCCAACAAGTTTCAAGGTCAAGGATGTGCCAACAATGGACGAATTCTTGGAACTCGTCAGATGAACCACTTGTCAAGCACAACAAGGATGGGAGCACTAACCCATTCCCTGTCCGGCTCTCCCCTGCCCTCCACTTGCTCCTTGTGCTCTCACAGCGAGTTCCCCATCATCCAAACAACTTGTCCATTTCATGCCCAACAGACCACAGGGTTTGTCTGACTATGTTATGTTGTACATCTGTCTGTTTGTGATCACTTGGTTCATCTATCTTATGTTGTATTTCTGCACATACTTCCCTGCTTGTTCATACCAGCTTTGCTAGCAATAAAGCTATTACTACATAGTCATGTTGAAAACACAGGAATACAAAATAAAACAATTATAATATGGAAATAAAGCTGCTGAAAAACAAAGTATGTTCATAACTCTAAATTAAGTCTGTAATAATTTCTCTTAAATCTCTATTAACTGTGAAAATGAACTAATACATCCTGAGGTGGCATTGTTTAATTTAAAGCATGTCTTGAATGTAACTGTTTAATACTGATAAGGTGTCATTGCAATGTAACAGTGTCATTGTTTGATAAAGGTTTTATTATTGGAATTTATAGATACTGTGATTATGTCAAATGGTCAAGTAGAAATTTAATAGAAACTGTGCCCGAGTGTTTCAACTAATAAATGCAAGAATAAGTGATAAAAATATTGATACCTTACCTAACCATTGGAGTAAAAACAATGGATAGATTGCTGCTGAAATGGTCACAATATGAAATTGTCATATTGCTGCTGTAATACACAGAGTGTTAAAATTTGGACATATGACTACCAGTACTGTAATAGACAGAGTATAAAATATGGACATATGACTGCTGTAATATAGACAGAGAGATAAAATATGGAATTAAATTGCTGCTGTAATAGGGTTATAAACTTTTGTCACAGCGATTGTCATTATCCTAATTGCTAAGCCTTACTGTAAATCTTCAGGGTTTAGATGCAGAGTTTTCATGGTTGTGGCATAGGGAATATGGTGTAGGGAGGGTCATTTTAATTATATGTAGATTAGATGAGAGCGTAAGGGAAAAATATGGAGAGGGAACTGAGGGGAGAGGAAGCACAGGGTGACTAGATTGTTTTAAACTTTTATAGCAGTGGTTCTCAACCTTCCTAATGTCGCGATCCCTTATTACAGTTCCTCATGTTGTGGCGACCCCCCAAAAAAATATTATTTTCGTTGCTAATTTGTAACTGTAGAGAATATGTGTTTTCCTATGATCTTAGGTGACCCCTTGTATAGGCTCGTGCTACCCCCAAAGGGGATGTGATCCAGAGGTTGAGAACCGCTGTTCTATAGCATAAGTGCAATGGGGATGTTATCACTTTGTTATTTTGTATTAAATAAGTGGTTCCTTTTACGTGTTATTTAGGAAGCATGGTTCTTTATATATAAGATTTATAACTTAAAAATAAATTCTATTAGTTTGATAAATTTTGGTTACCGGTACTATGTAATATTTATGGCTTATGATTTGATCCTAAGTTAAAAATACACAAAGCTTTAGATTTATTTTATCAGATTTACATAATTCCATTTGTATGTCTTTCTGGAACTAACATTGAATGAGAAAGACAGCATTACATTTTCAGAACATGCTCTTGGGTCCCCCATGAATTTCTTAACACATATTTTCTCTACTGCTAGAGAACAGCTTTTAAGTTCATTGATAGTTATGAGTTTTGATAAGTTGAAATCTTAATTATTCAATTTCTATTAATGGTACTTGTTTTGTTTTATCTTACTTGGAATTATAGTTATACTTTACTAGTATACCCGTGTTATCAAGCTTAGCTTCCATGCCAGTGAAATTATTTGATTTTGTTAACATGTTTATTTTTCTGTGTCGTTAATGTCAACTCTGTCTCTGCTTGCAGTGCTGATGCCCTAGAGCAGAACCAAGAACTGGAGTTTGAGAGAAATGAAGAAAGGTTTCGATTTTGCAAGGTAATTTTTGGTACAAAGTTCCTGTAACTGAAATGCACTGTTTCAGAGTTACCAGTAATGCATGCATGTCAAATACTGTTACTAAGTACTTGTCATTAAAGTAATAAAATCTTATAAGCAAAAGTCAATCACAATCAACTTTAATGAACTAACACCAAATAAAGAATATTGAATGATTAAATGTAGACCTCTAGAACAGCATTTAACAGAAGCCAAAATGTGCCTCTCACACTGAACCATGACGGCTGCAAAAACAAAATGCAAGGTGGAAAAAAGCAGAAAAAACCTACCAGTAATTCCTATTAAAGAATCTAATGCTAACCTCTAACGTTTTGTTTGAAAAAGCCCTAAAATTTCATGTCACAAATAATGCGATCTGTTGATCTTGTTCCATAATAAAAGAATATTTATTTTTAATAAAAGTGTCAAAATCCTTTAAATTATAAAATTATTAAAAATAAACTGTGGTCATACCGATAAACCTAAGCTAGTATCAGACCTGTTTACTGTTACTATTTTGGCGTAGAATGACCCATTTTGTTATTTCTTTTACGATTTTATGCAGAAACGTGCCAGAAGTACGATTTTAAGAGATCGGGTTGAAACTATATACATTCCCTTAGGTTTTTACCGGTTAAAATTTAAAAAAACTAGAAAAATAAATTTTTGGTTGTTAGTTTTAACTTGCATTTGCGTTCTGAACCTAGCAGTGTTTGCATCGGGAAATAGATTTTTGGGGGACCATTAATTAATATTACGTTTGCTTTAAGATTCAATAAGAGTGGGGTTGATTTTGGAGAATTTGTTTGTGTGTGTGAGTGTGTGGGGGGGGGTCTAAATATTAAAGTCTATAAAATTAGCACTGCCACTGCCACATTTACGTAATGATAGTTGGGGAAGGGGGGGTTCCTCTGCAGAAATTATGTGCGTTTTTAAAAAATTCTACAATATTCATACTGAAACTATAAAAGTCCAAAAATAACATATTTATATCTTGAATGCTGTAAAATATCACCCTATGTTTAGTGGGAATTATTATGGTAATGTTGCCATGTATTTTCACAAATAAACTCTCTAGCTATACTCAGTAGTAGATATATTACAGTAATATTTAGTCCACCCAAATGTTAATGAATGTTCAACATGCGTGTGATGTATATTTTGTTTGGCTATAAAATAAAGGGTTAGATAAAAATAAATATAACATGTATGTAGGTCAGTAAGTGCAATCTAGTTACTGCAAACAGTAGTTACTCAAGTGGGTTACTGTTTGCACCACGACTGAGAGTTGTCACATTGGATTAAAAGTGGAAATAAAATTATGAAAATTTTGTAAGGAAGCCGCAGCAATTTTTCGTCCCCATTCTCATTGCCCTGCCCGGGGGGCAACGAGCACCCAGGGCGATGAGGCATAATATTCATGGGAACCACTGGGCTCGCCAAATCACCTGTGGTGAAAACCCTTCTCACTTTTTATTCGCTATAACATCAAAATATATAAAGATTATTAGGACATGGGTTTTGTTGATGTTGGGGGGGGGGGGGCGGGTATCAAAAGTTCATTGTAAAATACTCAAAGGGGGGGGGGGGGGGGGGGCCGCGTAAAAGGTATGAGTGCAACAGGGAGAGGGGCTAGAGAAATGTGACTTTTTTGGAGGTACATACTCGCATTTGTTTGCTTCATTGCTGTATCACGTAATTTTGCGACAATTATTATTATTATTATTAATTATTGTACACTTTATGTAAGCTGTATGTTTATTAAGATACTTAATCGTACAATTTTTAGACAATTTACGATTTTAGGAGTTTGAGGGTAAACAGGTCTGTAATGTCCCTTCAAAAGGGCCCTACTTATGTAGCCAAGGAGTATTTGTTGTATAGGCAGTAGTATATATCGTTTACTAGTAATGAAAATTTCATACATGCGTGTATAATGAGAACCCCTAATTTTTAGTTTCAGTTTCTAGCCTAACTACGGTAGGTTTTTCTTTATGTCGGTTTTATTTTACTTTACCTTTTTTGTCTCTCCTGATTACGGTAAAAAGAGAGTGATGAAAGAAAAAGACCTTAAAGTTGACTTTTAAAAAGAAAAATATGCTGATCACATTGGTCAACAATTTAGAAGTTTTTTTTTTCCCCATATTGAAAATTTCCATTTAACTGTTGAAAGATCTCTACCACTTAAGTATTGAATAGTTTTCATAATTGCCAATTTGTTTGGTACCTTAAAGTTTGATTTTGAAGTTAATATGGTAGCTTTGATAGTTGTTACACCTACACTAGCTAAATAGTCTCTAGATGAACTGTGGCAGTGCCTTTTCAACAACATGTCAAGAGCATTATAGCTGACATCAAGAAGATAAAGTATTTGACAGACATTATAGGTGACATCTAGAAGTTGAACTATTTGACAGACATCTTGAAAATACCAATTATCTGTAGTTGAGAAAACTTCTTAATTATCAATGATTTAAACAGGTAATGAACTAATTTTATGTCAAAGACAATAAGTGTTTTTAAGAACATGGTTTATGATTTTTCTCAATATGTGAATTTATTATACAATTTGTTGATATGTGACTTTGTTGGCATCAGACTTTGTTGGGATGTGATTTTGGTCAATACATAACTTTTTTGTATGTGCCTTTATCAAAATATATGAATTTGTTAAAATATGAGTTTGCTAATCATGATTGAATGTTGTACCAAGAATTAACTTTTTAAAAACAAGGAAAAAAATATATGGACTATAAAAAAGTTGTCTTATGTATTTCTTCAGTGGGGAGCACAAGCCTTAAAGAATATGCAAATTATTCCCCCTGGGTCTGGTATTGTACATCAAGTCAACTTAGAGTATCTTGCACGAGTCGTCTTCAGCGACTCAGGGATCTTGTATCCTGACAGTCTGGTTGGTACAGATTCACATACAACCATGATTAATGGCTTAGGTGTTCTAGGCTGGGGTAAGTCAAATGTTTCCTGAGGGTTTGCTTTAATACAGTTGTTTTAATGGCTGGGACTGGCATATAATGGGTCAAATAAAAAAGTTATTGCTTTTTTGGTGGGTAAAAATAAGATGAGCACCATGAAAACTATTACCTTGTCCAGTTTTTGATTATTGCAGGTGATCAGATTACTATTTTTGACTTGATTATTGCCGGTGATCATATTACTATTTTTGACTAATTATTGTAGGTGATCTTATAAGTTATATTGGTCCATTACTTGACTGATCATTGCAGGTGTTGGTGGTATTGAAGCTGAGGCTGTTATGCTTGGTCAAGCCATGTCCATGGTACTTCCTCCTGTTGTGGGCTACAAAATCACAGGTTCTCTGCACCCTCTTGTCACTTCAACTGATGTGGTGCTTACTATTACCAAGGTGGGTTGGGTGGTTCCATTATTAAATGCTGTGGAGCTTATCATCACCCAAGTAAAGCATAAATCCTACCTACTAATATGTTGGTTCAGGTTTTTGGATCATTGTTAGGTAAGGTTGTTGGGTCATTTTTGTCAGGTTGTTGGGTCATTCTTAGGTAAGGTTTCCTGGGTCGCCTTGTGGATCAGCTTTTTTGGTCTTTCTTTGTCCAATTTTGTTCCTTTATTTTCAACATTGCAATTTCTCCTCAGCATCTACGCCAGGTTGGTGTAGTTGGCAAGTTTGTGGAGTTCTTTGGTCCAGGAGTTTCCAACTTGTCTATAGCTGACCGTGCAACCATATCCAACATGTGTCCAGAATATGGAGCAACAACAGGATTTTTTGCTGTGGATGAGAAATCTATTCAATATCTCAAACAAACAGGTAGGAAATTCATGTCATCAGACAGGTAATTCATATCATCAGACAGGGGATTCATGTCATCACATACTGATGACTCATATCGTTACAGACAGGTGACACAATGTCACCAAATGGTGAGTGAAATTATTACTTACGGTGATGAGATGGATTTTGAGATAATTTGTATGAGCTAGTAGATAACTTAGTTGTTTTGTTTGTTTCAGGTCGAGATGAAAAGAAAATAGAGATTATTGAAAAATATCTCAAAGCCAGTCATCTTTTCCGTGATTACATGAACAACAATGAAGATCCAGCATTTTCTGAGGTGAAAAAATGGTTCTCATATGATTCAAACGTTTATTTGTCAAAATTCACGAACACTCATCCACCCCACAATTCCTTTTTGTTGAAATTTTCTCCCCTTTATTTGTAATGAATAACCCCGTTTAATGTCAATAGTTATTTACTAGAAATGTTCCCTGTTATTTGATCAATACTCCCACCCCATTTATTAGCTATATTTTTCTTCATTAAAAACTAAATTATATCTTGCTTAATTAAATGTCCCAAAATTGGTAGTGTCCTTTTTTTTTTTTTTTTTTTTTTTTTTTTTTTTTTTTTTTTTTTTTTTTTTTTTTTTCTTTTTTTTTTTTTTTTTTTTTTTTTTTTTTTTTTTTTTTTTTTTTTTTTTTTTTTTTTACAAATTGTCTCCCTCTATTTAGTAAACCTTTTCTGACCCACTATGAATATTGAAAAGATAAGTTTCTTCTTAGTTCTAAATTGTTTTATATGTAAATTTCCAGCAAATTCACTCATAACTTGAAAATCTTCATGGTTAATTAAGTTGTTTAACTACGAAATTATTAGAATATATGACCCAGTGTTCCAGTCCAACTAATAATGGAAGGCATATTTTGTTACTTTCCAACTGTTCTTTTAAGGTGTCAACATCTAAAAATCCAAATTTAACATATGTTAATGAATCAAGATTTCTTGTAATAGATCCTCAAACAAAAATGTGATAAATTTAAATTGGATCCAGGGGGATCGGGATCTGTCGTATTAATGGATTTTGAAACATTGGTACCATTATTAAAATTCCCCCAACCTCTTCTTCGCTCCTGAACTACATTATCGAAAAATTGTTAAAACAGGCTACTTATATTTTAAGACGAATCTATTATCCAATTTTGAAATCGGTCTTGTTTTTATAAACAACTATTCTTTATCTCATAAAAATTGAACAGGCTCCGGTACTGAATTTTGCACAAAATTGAAAAAACAAATATTTCCTTATTATATAGAAAATCTTAGCTCCTGTTTAGCTGAACTTTATTTTTCATTATTAAAATTTTTAAAATATCTTTTTATAGATTAAATTTTCACGCCTGCCTGTTTAACGTTTAAAAATTTGTCAAATAAATAATAAAGTTAAAATTTAACTGTTGTCTCATTAAAATCAGTTTAAAAATGCCACAAATAGAGCCTTTCAAAAATTATCAAACTTTGTGGAAAAGTCTAGACCGGATCAGAATTGATTAGATATTATTCATTTTAAATCCACCGGATTCACAATGGATGCATCATTGTTCACATAGAACCTATAATGTTATCTAAGGCTATTGGTATTTATATAGCTAATATAAGGAAAATGAAATGGAGCCCCTGCCCCAAAGGAGACAGATATTATGAGTTAAGTAACCTTCGATATGTGAATATGGATAATAAAGTGTGTGTGTGTTAAGTTTGGTCAAGATCCATCTATTCATGTGGGATTATTTGTTGGTAATTTTATTTATAAAACTCATTTAAGGAAAAAACAAATTATGGGCCACCTGCCCCAAACGGAATGTTATTAAAAGTTCATAGCCCCAGAGAGTTCCTTCTGGGAAATGATGGATGTATGTGCCAAGTTATTTCAAGGTTAATCAATCCATGTAAAAACAAATGTGGAACAAAGCCACAAACCCACAAACAAACATTCACTTTTATATATATACTAGCGAGTACCTGCCATGCGTTGCAATGCCACTCAAAGAAAGAAAGTGTTTGCATTTTAATTATGTTTCTTGAAGAGCTTTTAAATGCACAATGTTTTGTTGTTTTTTTTCCGCCTGGTGCATACATGAATAAATCAGAAGGTTTTCCGACACGAGAGCAGGCCACATACATCTGTCCATGGGAGAAGTATGGGTTTTCAAAATTTAGTCCGCAAACTTGTAGCGATTGTCCCTGTGCTTTGTAGATAGTCATTGCAAACGCATGTCGCGCCAGAAACTGCAGACGTTTGAATTCAAATGGCATATTTGTTGGAATCATGGGAATGCGTGGCATCGGTACATCAACTCCTTTAAATTTTCCTTTTAAAATAGTAACTTCGATGGTATTTTTCATCATGTTTTTTACTGAAAGTTTGCTACTGTTGTAAAGTCGTGGATTTATGTTTCGTTAAAGAATGATAGGCACGCCCATTTTCAGTTTTAAAATGTGCGATGGAATGCCTGGCAAGTCAAGTTATTGAATAATTGACAACTTTGTCTTGATTCAATATCAATGGACTTATACGTTGTCGTTTCGTCTGGGATTTCGTTTTGAATGCTTAAGTTGATTGCATAGACATCGTTGTTTTTGCGTGCTAATATTGCACTTGCACTGAGCCACTGATGATTTTTGTAATATTGTGCGATATTTGGAAAAACTTTATGAATCAATTCGTCGATGGTAGCTGTAATTTTACAGGAGCTTGTTGGCAGTGTAAAACATTGTGTGGATTCATCAATTGCCATTTTCCCATTCCAAATGTCCAACAATTTTTTTGCTAAACATTCAGCGGATGCATCATTGTGTAGTTGTACACGCATATTGGTATTCAAAGTCAATTTCTGTATTGTCACCTTAATGATTTGACACATGCATTTAATTCATCGGCAGCTGTTGAACGTGGTATAACTGGTAGAGTTTGTCGAAAATCACCAGATAATAAAATAAGTGCGCCACCGAAGAGCTGTTCATTTCCTCTCAAATCTTTTAGTGTATGATAAAGCGTTTCCAATGCTTTTTTTGTGTGCGCCATATAATTTGTTGACATGATTGGAGTACTTTACCCATTCCTGAATTTTTATTTATATTGCATGTTTGTGTCTCCGTGATTTGCATATTCAACGGCAATTTCAGTGCTGAATGCGCTGTTTGGCCACCATCCAAAAGAGTTGCTTCAATTACAGATGATGCGATTGCCAGTGTCATATTCTTTTGTGATCGTATTGTTTTCAAAATAAGTGAAATTAGGAATGTTTTTCCTGTGCCTCCGGGTGCATCTAGGAAATATAATCCAACGCTTTGACTGGCAATTGCATGCTTAATTCTGTCATACACTATGAGTTGTTCTGGAACCAATTTCGGAAGATTCATTTGAACAAATGTACCTAATTCGTCTATATCAAAATGGGTTTCTCGTTGCAAATCACGATGGAAAAGGTTGTTTGCAGATCGATTCAGAGAGGTCATTCCCAACTCAACCAGTGCTTTGTTAGAGACTGACAAACATATGTCCTCAATCGAAACCAATGCCTCATTATACACGTTTGGTGTAAATTTAATTTCCGGATTTTGATTCGTTGCGCGCAAACGATGTAGGATGTCTTCACTCATGTAATCTTTGTATTTCTCCCAAAGATCTTTTGGATTGGATGGGAAGCACGTTGTCAATATGATTACAAACAAAGTGTGTATTTGCTGTGGCTGAGCAATTTTTGATGCATCAGCGAGCGAAGTGTCCCAATGAGCATCGTTTTCCAGAAGTTTTAATTCTTGGCAATCTTCACAATAAGTGGCACATACTTGACCGTTTACTGTTCTCGGTTCTTGGAAGGATGTTGGTCCACGTACGTTTATTAACAGTAATCGCAAATAAAAGCATTCTGCATTGTTTGGGTGAACAGTGTACAGACGGCCTAATGCATGGGCCAAATATAAATTGGGGTGTTCTTCAAATGCTTTACCCTGTTTGCGACGTTGACAAATTTTAGCTGATGCATTCCATGTGTAATATTTGGCACTTCAGAGTAAAGTAGCGTCTTTGCAAAAATATCATTCCCGCACAATGAGAAAAATGCAGTTCACGATGTTGACGGAGGTGACACTGCTCTTACATGTGCATTTTCTGTTGTGAAGTACACACGCTGTCCGTTTTCAAGGTGCACTGCCAAATGAACAACTGTTGGATGGCGTTCATGGATTGGAAATGATAAAATGCGCCATACTGCTTCAGTGCTATTAATGTAGCGTCCAAGTTGATATTGATAGTCTTCATCGATTGATGCAGTCATTTAATCGACTCCAAAACTGCCATATCGCTTCTTTGTTGACATATTTGCAAATGTAGTTGATCGATTTCACCAAATTGCAATACTCTACATTGATGTGTGCTTTGAACGTTTTGAGAGTAACGGTGAATAGGGTACAACCCAACGATTATCGACTCAACATCATTGTTTCGTACCTTTAAAGTGATTGATTTGCCACCATTTTCATTTGATCGTTGAAGATACAGTGGATAGCCATCATTGCCAGTGATAGTCTCCACAATTAAATATCTTGGGTATCGTTTTGTACATTTCCCATCAGACATGCATGGTGAATTTTTGTTGAGTAAGCCACATGGACCGTGAATCATGCTTTTGGTGACAATTTCAAATAAGTATTGATCAATGTTGACATCTGGTATTTCTGCAGATAAGACTTTAGCAATTTGATCTTGTTTGGCTTTTTCGATCAACCAAATTAAAATGTGTGCATGAGGCAATCCTCTCTTTTGCCATTCAACGGAATACATCCAACAGCGTGTCTCTCCAAAAACATGATACTTGACAATAAAATCTATTAAAGATTTCAATTTTTGTTTGAACACGCGCGCAGTAATATCGTGACGATATGATGATGATTGTCCAGTGAACAAAAGTTCTTGTATTTCCCCCATGTAGGGTTTCATGTAAATGTAATAAAAAAATCTGGGTGGCCATATGCGTGAATATATTTCATTGCATCTTGTGCGTATTCATGCATGTGACGTGGACTTCCAGTAAATGTCGCAGCTAGTATAACCATTTTCCCCAATTCATTTGGATTCACATTGCCAATATTCACAATTGCATCACGCAAATGAATGTACTCTTCGGAATGTAACTTGCTTTGATTTAATTGAATGTAGAAGAGTCGTTCGTAGTCGATTTTCGCATACATATCAACAATGTATTAATGGAAAATTTTCGACATGTCAAGATATGATTTTCGTCACTCTCACGGATCGTCAATCCATATGAATAGTATTTCATGACACTGACTTTCTTATTCGATTCCTCATCCGTCTGTGGATTTCTCAATTTGATGTTAAGATGATATCCATCTTCTCCTTGCCAAAATAAAATAGGATATTGCAATCCATCGTATGAGCAATGAGTTTCTGAGACATCACCACTTCTGCGATGAAGAATTATATCAGGTGAGTTAAATTCTTCGCCAACTATAAAGATCGCCACTTCATCAATTGTTGGTGCATTGTATTGTCTTTCGTGTAGGCAGACAGGTGTTTTGTTTGCTCTAACTATGACTTTGTAGTCATCAGTTGGCATCTTTTCAAGTTAAGTTCTGAACATTTGAATTAATTCGTTGTGTTGCAAAAATAACATTTGCAATGAAGCGACAATTTCTCGTTTAGTGCCCATATTGATATGACAACATTGATCGATTTGTTCATCAGTATTCCCCATGAAATAAATTTGAAGAAATTTGTGATCTGTGTTTGGCAGTGGCAGCAGAGATCCTACACGATGATAAATTTGCCCTTGCACTTAAAATGTTGACATGTAATTCTCGCGCACGATATTTGTTGCACCAAACGATGTCATTTGGAAACATGAATTATACTTGCGTATGTTTGCCAAAAAATGTTTCGATTGGCTTGTGTCACCTGATACCAACGGTGTTAATGGTTCGGGTGGTGAATGTAATTCTGGTAATTTCACTTTCCCACCATTGCTGCAAATTCCAGGTGTTTCATTCTTAAATTTGAGGGCACTGCAATACATGAATAATTGATCCATTTTTCCAATAACCACACTAGGATGAAGACTGTAATCATAATTAGCATCGTAATGGGATGCACTAAGATTTAATTCAGGGTGCAGTTTTCGTCTGGATTGAGCAGTGCGCACTCTATCGGAATTCAGTCTTTCTTCTCCCCACTCAACTGTTTCAGACAAACGGGTTTCAGCATTGCTTACTCCGGCGGTTTCGAGTCCTGATTCCTGTTGCTCAACAGTTTCAGATGAACGGGTTTGAGCAATGCGTACTTGAGCGGTTTCCTGTTTTGCTTCCCGTTGCTTGACTGTTTCAGATGATCGGGTTTGAGCATTGTGTCCTCGAGCAGTTTCCAGTCTTGCTTCTCCTTGCTAGAATTTTTCCGAAGCTTGTGATGACTTTTTCTTTCGTGCTTGAGGTGTAGAAAAACTAATAGCTTTTCGTTTGGAACGCATCATTGATTTGAAAGCAAAATTATTGCTTTGTGACGAATATTACAAATGCATGTGATATCTGTTATTAGCAATGGTTTTCGCAATTAACACAACTTGTTTGGTCACACACAAAATGAAATATTGCTGTTTGTATTTGATTCAATTAATTTACAATATTCCTAACGTTTTCACACGTTTCACAATAATTTTCACAAGTTAGGATCTCCCATCTTTTACATGAAAACCTCGCACAATATGTACGATCATTGTTGGCAGTAGAGTTCCAGTTGTATATCGTCACATTAATTTATAAATCATAAATTCCAGCTTTAAAGTCTCGATATCACTATAGTTCAATACCTATGTTGTCTAGTGTGTAATTTAATTACTCAAAAAACCATGGGTTCATGTAAAATTTCTTTACATAACACAAAACAACTCCGAAATTATAACACTCTATTAAAGAAATACTTTTAATTTAAAAACCGATCACATTTTCAATGTCATATCCGATTCTAAAATCCGTCACAAAATTCAAGCTAATTTATAAAAATAACAAAAATACTCTCTACACTATAAATGCAATACTGTGTTTTCTCTGCTTTACTACAAATTTTCTGCCTGTTGGCATTTGTTCATGGGCGGTTGTGTTGATAGCTCCGTTTGAAATTATATTGATGAAGCTCAATTAAGAAAATCAAATGAATTTAAGGCCCCCGGCCCAAAGGAAATATTGTAAAATGGTTGCATTTATTCAGAAATCTGCTAATTATGTAACACACAAACAGAAATGTCGTTTTTTGTTTTTGATTCAATTCCATCCACCCATGGAAAAGCTCTGTTTGAAATTTTATTTTTATAGTTCGAATAAGAAAATTTTAAAATTTTTAAAATTGTTGTACTAAATTAGAAAAATTTTCAGGCGGATTCAGCTCCGTCCACCCATGCAAAAGCTCTGTTTGAAATTATAGTTACAAAGCTCTTAGAATAAAAAAAAGAAATTAGGGTCACTGGCCCAAAAGGAATATTAAAAAAATGTTTTTCTAATTTAGAAACATTTGCGGTAGTGCGCATATAAATTCACCAAGTTTTATCGTAATCGGATGAATGTTTTAGAAATGCATACGATAATTATATAGATAATAAAAAGGTGGAGAGCGAATTTAGGGCCCCCGGCCACAAACGGAATATTGTAGAATTGTTGTATTATTTCAGAAACCTACTTAATATGTCACACACACAATTTAATGTCACTATTTGTATTTGATTAAAAAGCTATCCATCCATGCATTAGCTCTGTTTGAAATTATAGTTGTATAGCTTATAGAGAAAAAAACAAACATAGGGCCCCTGGCTAAAAACGGAATGTTTTAAAATGGTTTTAATATTTAAAAAACTTTTGAGGGTGAGCGCACAACATCTCTCTAAAGTTTTATCACATTCTAATAAATGGTAGAGGAGTGCATATGGAAATTATTTTTTTACAAAGCTGGGATAAGGGAAAAAAAACGAATTTGGGGCCAAAATGGAATATTTTATAAGTCATTATGAGACCCTTAGAAAAATGCTCTGGCATGTGGAAAACAACTCACCTCAGTTTTATCGCAATCGCTTGAATGGTGTAGGAGCGCATACGGTTTGAAATTATATTTATATAGCTCATATATATAAGAATCAGCTAAAGTGACATAACGCCAAAGGGGAGATACTTTTTAAGTATGTTCGGATTCCTAAAAAGAATCATAGTTATTTTCTATTATTTTACGGAAATCTAATAAATTTAAATGTGGACAAAAATATTTTAAATCCGCTTCTATTTTATTAAAAGTTAAAGTATTATTATTCTAAATTACAAATACATTTAAAGTATCAACTAAGGAACTATTTTAAGCATTTTATATGTTTGAAAGTTATGAAAAAAATTTAAAAATCATGATAAAAGAATTACACCGTATTCACATTTATGGGGAATGCATCAGTCGTTTTTAGTGCGTCTTTTAGTACGTTGTTAATATTGCGAATTTAAATTAAAATTAATTTGTTCCAAATAATCATGCAAATGATGTCCAAGCGCGAAAAGCCTAATTTGACAAAACTCTTAGGTTTCTTTAAATTTAATAACCGCGCGTTAGCAACAAGATGGCTGACAAGCAAATTTGTGAATACCGAAAACGGTAAAATTATGAATATATGCTGATATAAATATGCAAATACAATGCGGGAAGCTAGGGTAAGGATATGGGAGTAAACCCAAACTGTAAAATCCGGAGATGGAGTCCCGAAGTCGATCTGATGCCGATAACAATGTCATTTTGTCAACTCCTGCGACGCAGTCAGTGCCGAGCTGTATTGACAATTGTCATTCCCTTGAGTCCACTTGTTGCGTGGAGAGTGGGTATCTGCTGCATTGGGCAAGAGCTGGTCTCCATAAATCACCACCCAGGCTAAGTAGCTATATTAGCGACGTCACTTTACATAGAGCAAGTTTGTTTCGCAAGGCAAAGAAAGTCAATAGGAGGAAGACTGAACCACTTCGCTTCGCGACATGGAATGTGAGAACCATGTGTCCTTGATTTGAAATGGACCTTGATCAGATTGACAACGCAAGGAAGACTGCCGTCATTGATAAAGAACTCGCCAGACTGAACATTGATATTGCAGGCCTTCAAGAGACCCGACTAGCGGATAGTGGTACCATCAAGGAAACCAGCTACACATTCTACTGGCAGGGGAAACCCGCAGATGAACCAAGACAGCATGGTGTTGGATTTGCCGTAAGAAACACATTATTGGCCTGTATTGAACCTCCTTCTTTGGGATCGGAGAGGATTCTGTGACTGCGGATGTCATCATCTGCTAGCAAGGTCAACGTATTCAGTGTGTATGCTCCAACTCTTCATTCGACTCCAGAAGAGAAAGATTTTTTTCTCTGAGACCCTGGACCAAGAATTATCAAGTGTTCCCAAAACCGAAGCATTGTACATTCTGGGAGACTTAAATGCTAGGGTAGGAGCTGATCAGGAAGCCTGGCCGTCATGTCTTGGCTATCATGGATTAGGAAGGATTAATACAAACGGACAACGTCTGCTGGAGCTGTGCTGCTCCCGTGATCTCTGTGTTACAAATACCTTCTTCAAATGTAAACAAATCCAAAAGGTGTCAAGGTGACACCCACGTTCCCGCCACTGGCACCAGCTAGACCTCGTCATTACTAGGCGCTTGGAACTAGCTAGTGTACTTCACACACGTAGCTACCATAGTGCGGACTGTGACACGGACTATTCTCTAGTGGCAAGCAAGATACGACTATTGCCCAAAAAATTGCATAATGCTAAAAAGACGTGTCGTCCACGAATAAACATCCTCTGCTCAAACAACCCAGAAAAAACGCAGCCATTCTCAAAAGTGTTGCAGGACACCCTTGCTAAAGGATCACATGATGGAACTATTGACTCTAAGTGGAGTCATTTACGAGATGCTGTGTACGATTCAGCCATGTCCGCCTATGGTAAAATGGAGCATAAAAATAATGACTGGTACGAGGCGCATTGGAATGTGATGGAACCCGTAATCGAGAGGAAGAGAAGAGCCCTACTTGCCTGTAGGGATGCACCTTATGCTAGTACACTGCAGGCTGTCAGAACTGCAAAAAAATTATCACAGCAGACGGCCCGCGAGTGACAAAACTGTTTATGTATTTTACCTTCTTAAGAGTAAAATTAATAGATACAATTGCTTTTTAAATTGTTAATAAAACACACACACAGTTTGCTTTGTATATTTTTACATTTAAAAAGTTTTGCCTGTTTTGATTCCAAAAATATACTATTATTAAATTTATATAGTAATAAAAACTAACCTTTAAATATAATTCTACTAATAAGAAATACGGTTTAAGTCAATCAGTGAAGTGCAACTCCATAGCTAAAAAGCATTGAATAATCCACTTATACCTCATACAAATAAGAATGAACCATATGAAGTGCTAAGAATGTTAGTTTGGGTATGGAAGGGACTACATCCGGTGGAAGATTTTCTAAATTTATTTAAATCTGTGTGGGGCAGGGTTGGTCACTTTGCCCCAGGCAGAACAAGATATGTCTCAAAATAAAGGAATGATTTTGATTAATAATTAACTTTCTTGGGTACATTAATATCGGAGGTAGGAAATAGGATGTGTACATTTATACGTGGATGACAATATATTTAAATCCTATGGTATTACATTTGTGTAAAAAGAGATGCTACACTCTCTTTTTACAAATATGGGTATGTTCATTTTGTCCAAGGCAGCAAAAGATACGTCTCAAAATAAAGGATTGATTTTGATAAATAATTAGCCTTTTTGGGTAAATTCATATCGGAGGTAGGAAATAGGATGTGTACATTTATACATGGATTATATATTTAAATTGTGAAAAAAGAGATGCTACATTCTCCTTTTTCAAATATTGGTATGGGGTCATCCATAAAAGACATCCAAACAAAAGGGGGGAGGAGGGTTTAGCAAAAAGTGGACTAAAGTGGACAAAGGGGGTTTAGGACAAAGTGGATGTCCACATTGTAGTGTTTTTTTGAGTGCAGCAGTTTTGCATAAATTTACTGCAAAAAACTTCTAGTTTAATGACAAAATAGTTGGGATGCAAACCCAAACAATCTTTCACAAACTGAGTGGTTAAATTTAGAAACGATTTTTTCAATATTAATAATTAATACGCTTGAATATTATTTTAAAAATATGTTGTTAAAGTTTGAGTTGTCAAATACAATATAATCTCAAATAACAGTTTTGCATGCCTTTGTATCTCTATTGTCCATCGGTGGCTGGGAGAATTTCCAAGAGAATATGTTTTTGCAATAAATATTTCCCATCACAGGCGGCAATGAAAAAACATAAGGTCGTCCATTGCAATATTCCTGCTAGTGAACATAATATGGCAGACGAATCAGACGTAGAGACTGCCACTCAAATTGATTTAGCATTTGAAGACTCAAGAACAGATGTTGTCATTATACGAAACATGTTTGAATGGCTGCAGTCCGAATTTTCCATTGATTGAAGAATGTTGGATTATTTGTTTATTACATTTTTTTTAAACAGTGATTCAATAAAATGTTTTTGAACAGTTATTATTTTGTTGGAATTTTGCCTCCAAATAATTGGAATTTCACAAAAAACTCTTTTTAAATACATACTCTTTATATTGTTGTACATTTTCCCAAAATATTCATTAATTTAAGTTCGGTAAATTTTATGTTTTGGATGTCCACAACTGGGGGGAGGGGGGTGTCAAATCAAAAGGGGGGAGGGGGGTAAAAAAATAGCAAAACATTGGTGGACGTCTTTTATGGATGGCCCCTATGTTCATTTTGCTAATGGCAATACAAGATACGTCCCAAAATAAAAGAAATTATTTTGATTAATAATTAACCTTATTAATTTTATGTGGATGACAATATATTTAAATCTCATGGTATTTCATTTGTGAAAAAAAGAGATGTTAAATTCTCTTTTTATAAAGAAACATATGTTTACCAATTAAGAAAATCAATGGCGTTAACAAATCTTGGGAACTTTTATGTAAGTATATCCATGAATCTCAAAACACAATCATTTTACACACTTGAAAATTAAATTTTGACAAATGAAAATGGGTTAATATTTTCTTTTTTTTAAAAATGAAAATATATTTTTGTTGTTACTTTGCAAAAAGTGAAGAGGTGTATATTTTTATGAGATTAACAATTTAATTTTTTAAAAAGACAGTCTAATCCGATATAGGCATGAAAAACAGTTGTTAGATTATTCTTAGATAAAGAATTCTTTGTTTTACGATTTTCTGATAATGTATATTTTTTTTTAAAAAGGCAAAAATATGAGTACATTTTTGATGAAGATATCAACATATATCGAATTCCTGTAATACAAAATATATTTATGGCATATATAAAGTTTTTTTTGTAAATTAAGATTAGGTTTTTTAAAAAACATAGGGCCCCTGGCTCAAAACTGAATATTTTAAAACGGTTGTAATAATTTAAGGACCTTTGCCGGCGATTGCAGATCATCTCACTAAAGTTTTATCTCATTCTGAAAAATGGTATAGGTGCACATACGGAAATTATATTTACAAAGCTCATATAAGAAAAAATATGAATGTGGGTCCAACGGCCAAAATGGAATATTTTAAAAATGTTGTAATGACTCAGTAAAATGCGGGGGCTTATGGACAACAACTCACTTAGTTTTGTTGCATTTGCATGAATGGTGTAGGAGTGCATACGGTTTGAAAATATATTTATATAGCTTATAATAGAAACAAACGAACATATGGCCCCAGGCTCAAAACAGATTATTTTAAAACGGTTGTAAGAATTCTTAAAACTCTTAGGGCTTGCTCGCAAAATCTCACCAAAGATTTATGGCATTCGAATAAATGGCGTAGGAGCGCATACGGAAATTACTTTTTACAAAACTCGTATAAGAAAAAATACGAATTTGGGGCCAACGGCCGAAAACGGAACACTTTAAAAGTGTTTTAATGACTCAGTAAAATGCGCAGGCTTATGGACAACAATTCACTAAAGTTTATTTGCAATCGTATGGTGTAGGAGCCCATCCTGTTTGAAAATATATTTATATAGTTTATATAAGAAAAAACTAACATAGAGCTCCTGGCTAAAAAGGAATATTTTAAAACAGTTGTAATAATTCAGAAACCTCTGTGGCCGTGCTTACAACATCTCAACCAAAGTTTTATCGCAATCAGATAAATAGTGTAGGAGCGCATACATAAATTATTTTTTACAAAGCTCATATGAGAAAAAAAACGAATTAAGGGCCAACGGCCGTGAACGGAACATTTTTTAAGGGTTGTAGTGACTTGGAAAAATGCTCTGGTTTGTGGATAACAACAACTCACCAAAGTTTTGTTGCAATCGTATGTATAGTGTAGTAGCGCATACGAGACATACAAACATACAGACATTCATTTTTATATATATGGATGATATGACTAGATTCATTTGAAGGGATAGATCCCCTTATGTAAGTGACTAGCTTTGTTCATCAAACTCTTTCAATCTAGCGGGTTACCTTGGTTAATGTAATAAACACTCTTGATTGTTTGCAGAGGGCTACCTCAGTTTGTATTAAAGGTTTTTCTTAATTTATTTTAAGGAGTTCCTTCATGTAGGGCTATTTAAATTCATGCCAATGGCTACCTTAATGTATATAAACAGGCTATATTATTTTATGTTGAAGGCTATCTCTTTCCTCAAGTCAACATGTATACAATATCACCAAAAGTAACAATACTGAAACATCTTGAATATGTATAAGCATTTTTCAAAGTTGCATCGCTTCAACTTTCATGTATTCCCTGTATTTGAAGAGGAGGATATGTTCTGCAGTTGGAGTTTAAAATTGGCATCTTGACGAAGGAAAGAGTATTCATAGTGGACCATTAGTTTTGCTTGTGATTTGGAACTGAGTTCAAGATGTGGGAGTTTCAAAACTGTAGTTTTTAGGCAAATTTTAGAACTGAACCTGTTTCCTAAACACTTCACCTTCACCAGTCCACAGTTTTTTTTTTCTAGGTTGTTGAACTTGACCTGTCCACTGTTGTTTTCTAGGTTGTTGAACTTGACCTGTCCACTGTTGTGCCCTGTTGCTCTGGTCCCAAGCGACCTCATGACAAAGTACCTGTAACAGAAATGAAAGAAGATTTTAACAAATGTCTGACAAACAAAGTTGGATTTAAGGTAGAATAAAATTTCTCTAACAAAAAATATAAATTATAATACTTCAACTATAGATTTAGGTCTTTAAGTAAATGAGATGAAGAAAGTTGTGATGCCAGACTCACATAGCCTGTATTATTCATATAGCCTGTATCATTCATATAGGTTGCATATGGTGTACACACTGAGGGGGTAGGAAGTTAATCATCAAATTAGGACGTATAAAAAATGACTTGATTTTATTTTTCAGGGTTATGCCATAGCTCCAGAGAAACTGCTTACAACTGTTCCTTTTGTATGTGATGGCAAGGAAGAGACCATTAAACATGGAAGTGTTGTGATAGCTGCTATAACAAGTTGTACCAACACAAGCAATCCATCTGTTATGTTAGGGGCAGGTATGTCCAGATAGCTGCTATACTAACAAGCCATCTGTTATTTTAGAGGCAGATATGTCACAGTAGTCGCTATAACAAGTTGCACCAATTCTATTAATTGTAATAAAGATGGAATGCCATCGTTAAAGTGAAGTAATCATTTTGTTCGGTGGATGGCATGTAATTATAATGGTGAAGGAAAATCATAGATCTGTCGATGGTATGTCAATTTTCTGGTGATGATATTACATTGTAAAGGTGTTAGTATGTAATTGTTCTGGTGACTGGTAATGATTAAAAAGACCTTAATGCAGCCATATATTTACACTATTTTACATAAAATTGGTGTTTCTCCATATTATAATGTAATCATTTATTTGATGGAAGGCTCCATATTATGTTGTCATTTATTTTACTGAAAGCTCAATATTAAAGTGTTGTTGTTAGGATACCATTATATTGTTTTTGCAAATATATACTGTTTGAAGATATGGCTTGTTAGATCAACAATACATAACAAAAGACTATAACTCAGTCAAAACAAAGAAAAATGGTACCAAAGCTAGGGATATTTACAAAATAATTTAATTATACTATTAAATTTATATAAAAATATAAAATCAAATATACAGAAATAAAAACTACATTAAGGGGAGGTGCGGGTGAGAAATTGGCAAAAATGGCAAATTTTGAGAAATTTTTTATTATTGTTAATTTGGTTTTATTAATTCTTTGTGAAATTTTTATATTTGTTTTTACAAAAGTAAGTTAGAAAATATAATAAATGACAAGTTTCCTGACCCTATCAATCAGAAAAATGTCAAAATTGCCCCATTTTTTTTAGTGTTTTTACCCCTTTGTTATGAGTATTTGGAATTGCCCAATCCCAATATATTTGTTAGGAAAGATGGTGATTTCCGAATCAAGATAAATACATTTTATCGTCATAAAGAAAATTACTAAATTAGCTGAAGCTTTCGATTGCCGCTAATGTCTAGCAAAATTTTGTATCTTTCTTTCCTACTTCGTGTATCACGTGATCTAGCCCTGACCTTTGAACAAAATGAGCATTTTGATTGGTTCCTGTGTAGGAAATCTGTTTGTAATAACTACTTCCAGTATAAACAAGCCATATCTATTTTCATGAGGCCTACCGATTTCGATATGTAATTTGTCGCAAATAAAAACATTTGAGGAGTTAAAAAAACAACTAAATAAGTAAATAACCAAACAAAGTGAGTTGGCTTTGATTAATTGCCTTGATAAACATGATTAATTCTTCTCCATTTTTGGAGAAGACTAAGACTGAGTACACTAAACTACTAAGACTAAAGACTCCTACTCCTAGTCGCTTCAAGTTCAAGCATCGCTATGCTACTTCACTAGCAGAAAGAAGATAGAAAAATACCATGCCAATAATAATGGTAAGTCTTAAAGATCAAATCTATTTTTCCCTTAGATTCAAATTTAAAGTATGGTATCAATTATTCATAAGGCTAAGGCTAAGCCTATACTGTACTCACTATAGACCATTGAATGAAGGCTATGCTTATACTTTTTTACTTTTTTATTATTTGTAGTAAACACCGTTAGTTTAGTGATAGTTAACATTTGTAAAATTAAAACTTATAAACAATGTATTGTAATTGTGATATTTGACTTTCATTGTCCTATATTTATAGCTATTAAAATAGTAATATATTAAATTTCTAATTTTTCTCATTGTGGCACAAATGACATTGTCATTAGTGTTATTTTATTCTAAAGTAAAATAAGAGCCCTAACAAATTTTGCTTGAAATACTTGTCAACAAGTATGACCTATCGGTCATTAATGTCCTTACAGCCATATATTTTTGTTGATAAGCATTTAATAAAAATATCTAACGACAAGTTTATTGTTTTCAGGAATGATTGAGGAGACGCGCAATCGGTTTGCGGAACACAACAGAACACAACATGCATTATATTTCCTGTTGATCAACCACACTGATCTCTTGTGCCTTAATCCATTTAGCCCAAATGACAATTTGTACTTGAAAAAGGAGTGCCCTGAGTATGTGTTCCAATTGGTACAGATTCATCGTCACATCATATGTTCGATGCATCGAAATAAAAATAACCTCAGGCAGAGGATGCAAGAGATTACTAAAACAGATTACATCACAAGGCTCATTATGTGTTATACAAGGACAAAAAGAATAAGACTGCAGTTGAAAGGAACATATCAATAATTCCCTTGTTTCAACATTGTATCTCTATGCCATGTGATTTTCAACATGATTAGTGTTAAATTTGATACAGTAACAAATTATATTTTACAATGGAGTTATTGCTCATGAGTTTTCTGGTTCACACAAAATACCTGTCAATATGCTTTTGAGAAAAATGCATGTTGAAACTGAAATGATTCAAAAGTTGTGAGAAATCAGAAAATTTACAACTGTCAATATTCATTTCGTCATTAGAATTCATAGAACTTACAATTTTTTTTTACAAGACCAAGAGTTGCATTTTCAGCATACATAGACAATGTCTAATAACTCTTTGGAATTGCATTTTACATAGCTTAATTTTATGGTTTTGCACACTTTTATAATGCTGAAATTCTCCAAAAAGCTTAATTTTATGGTTTTGCACACTTTTATAATGCTGAAATTCTCCAAAATAAGCAAATTATCATTTTTTTGACAAAAACAGAATAATAGATAAAAATACATCATCCGCAGCGAAAAGTTAAGTGGTCAGGAAAAAAGACAAAAGGACCTGGAAAAGTATAACAAATGTCCACAATAGGCTAATAAACAGTTTTCATTCCAATCTGAATATAAATTTATTATTTTTCATTGATATTTTCATTGTTTTTATCGTTTTTCTTCATTATTTCAGTTTTCTTGTTTTCAATAATTTTGGTCACCAATATCCCTAAAACTTTTTTATTTATTATCGAAACAAATTTTCAGAGTATGTTCAGTGACCAATAATAAACATTTAAATAACCTAGAAATAAGATAACTATCTTAGAAAAGAAAATATGTAAAAAAGAATTCACCCACACCCCTATTTTTTTCATAAAAAATGGGGTCACAATTAGTGACCCTGTTGATTTATTACAAGTCATTACATCAAAAAGTCCTGTTAAACAAAGTTTTATTATAGGTTAAATTAAATAATCTATGTTTAAAATCTGATGGCAATAACTTAATATTTGTAAAAGCCTTAGTGTTTTAAAAAACACTTTTAAAAATAAAAAGGGCGGAGGTTTTTTTGGGTTACAAAGGCAACCAATGGAATTTTTTTAATTTAAAACCTGTTTTTGTACCTCCATTACAATACCAAATAAGGTGTAGGTAAAAAAAATCCTATATCAAGCCAAACAAAATTTTTTAGATTTTTCACCCACACCTCCCCTTAACTTACAGCACAGAAAGTGAAAAAGAATAATGCACAAAAGATACAGATAATTACTACACACACACAAAGAGTATACTATAAGTATATTACATTCCTTAAGTTTCAGATCTAGGAAATCTATCAAATCTATTTTCTTGTTGGGAAAGCTCTAGGTTTAACCCTCGAACTGTGGCATGCATCATTCTGTGGTGTGGAGCTTTTCAGAGCTTTTTGAGTGCCTTTTGAAATTGCATTAAATGACTTGGAAATATTGATGCAAGACCCCAATAATTATATATTTTTATAAAGGTAAATGGATGGGGATAAAGTTGGCGATATTACCCACCCCGTAAAAAAATGTTGCTCAATGTCCTTGACCTTGGAGTTCTCAAGAAAATAAAAATCGACAAAATGTCTTGCTTTCAAGTGCTCATAACATCATTAATTTTTAATGTTGTAGCCAATTCATTTATCTTTCAGAAAATGTTTAGTTTGCTAAGGTTTTGATTGCAATTAAACCTCTGAAAGCAATTTTAGTAATTTTAGGTCATTTATATAAGAAACGGGGACCACTGCTGAAACCAAGTGCAAAATACAAAATCTCAGGCAAAATAGTTATTATTGACTAGTAAACATTTAAAAAGGAACTGTGGAACTGATTTGGGTTGTTAAACTATAAAATGTATTATTACTGATCTGTAATCTGTAGCTTCTGTGACTAAAATTCAGTCAGTCCTTGCCCAACCTCCGGGCCTGGCTCGAAGTCAAACAGTAGCCTCAGTAGGCCCACTTCAGTAACACTAAGACTAGTATCAGATTCACGAAAAGAAGAATCTGAAGTGAGATGTCATGGGGAATGTTAAAATCATCATCAGTATCACTTAAATCCTCTCCTAAAAAGCTTTAAAAAATATTTAAATTAGTTCTCGCACTGAAGGCCCAGCCACAGCTTCCGTCATTTTTGCTTTAAAAAAACAGCGATATAAAATTCCGATTAAAAAGTACTTATTGTTAAGTTATCAAGAAACAGGCGGAAGTTGGTTTAATTATTAATAAAAGGAAATGGCTATGATTTCTGTTAAATATTGGATTGGAAGTTGCTATCGGACCGTGTTTTTTATCAGCCGATTTTTTCGGCCACCACAGCACAGAACGAGAGCATCGGCCGATTTCGTGGGCCGACCACAGTTCGAGGGTTAATTATAGTGAGGGAGTTGGAAACCTCCAGAAAAGAAACTCTAGAAATAGCATTCTACAGAACACATTTGAATGTAAACAGCCTTTTCTCATTCAAGGGAAGGGTGGGAAATGATGCATCGCCACACATATAATCAGTGATGTCAATATGAAAACAAAAAAGTGGGAGGTAAGTGGTGGACGCTTTAGCTCTACATTGAAATAACCTTAGGTGAACACAGGCTATAACAGTTGTCAATTATTTGACTGAAGATCTTCATATTATAAATTATTGTGTTCTTATTTATTTAACTAAAGGTCTCCTGGCCAAGAAGGCAGTGGAAGCAGGTCTTTCTGTGCCTGCTTACATCAAGACATCCTTGTCACCAGGCAGTGGAGTTGTCACGTATTACCTGAGGGAGAGTGGAGTTACAACATACTTGGAGAAACTGGGGTAATATTGGTCATGTCATTTCAAATATCTAGGGTAAAACATAACTAGGGTAATATTTGTTACATCACTTTTGTTAGTTGAAATAATGTTGGTAATATTGGTAATTGTAACATGATATTGGATGTTAATTTGCAGTTGAGTAAATTGCGCTATTTCATGTCAGAGTAGTGATACATAGATATAATTATAGATAGGAACTACAAGGATAGCCATATTGTATTGAATGGAGAAAGCGTTTGGGAAGATTTGGTCCAATGTTATTTTCTAAAAGAAATGGATGTATTATTACTGAACTTTATTTAATCATCATTTCATTAATCATCAGATGTAAACTTTATTCTGTGTATTGTGTCAACTATTTCGTTTTCTAAGAAGCAACAATGTCTAATGTACACTACTCAGTACTTTATTATATACGCTACATAAATCACATGATTCCTTAACATCAGGATAATGTTATAACAATTATAGTTGCCATGCAGAGAATAGATATACACAGGCAACAGGCCCTACATGGAATTAATGGAATCTAATCCAAAAATACTCGCTGTAGCTCTCACTGACTCTCTAGATCCTTCGTCCACTCTGGGGCTCAAATCGTTGTCTCCCCTTTTATCCCCCAAAATTTACACACCCGTCCATGACTTGAAGAGAACACACTCGTCACATAACCCAATTGTCACTAATCACAACACACACAGCTTCGCTGATTCCATGACCTTGACAAAAAATATATGACATAGTGTTAAAATGATTGATAAATGAATTCTTGTACTTCATATTATTACAGTTGTGAGAAATAATAAGTAGTTAACTTCTTCTATATTTTTAAGGCCCACGATCAATGTATTGATCATTCTGGCTCCTATGTTTCAGAGGGGCTCGCGATGTAACTGTGCATGGTTTTGAAAGGGATACTTCACTGGTTGCAAGGGCTACTCAGCAGTGATATTATAAACTGGGGGTTGGAAGACAGGAGGCAAAAGACTCAAATTTGTTAAGTGTAGTCATCTCAACTGTTTCTTTTGGAAGCTTGTTCCAGTCCCTTATTGTCTTTGGCATGAATGAGAAGCTCCTGTACTGAGTTCTTGTTTTCATGAGCTGTAACTGCCTGTCGTGGCCTCGTCGCTGTTTAGTGGGGAGATGGACAAGTTTCTGTTTGATGCTGGAGCAGTGGACCAGCCCATTTTTTTATCTTGAACATCATGGAGAGTCTGGATAGTAGTCGTCGATCCTCCAATCTTAATCAGTCCAATATTTCCAGCATGCTGCCATCAATTGAGGTGTTTCTGTAGCGGTTCAGGACAAAGGGTACAGCTTGTCGCTGGATCACTTCCAACCTGTTGATGCTCTTCTTGGTGAATGGGTCCCAGAATGAAGATGCCTACTAAAAGCGGCCGTACAAAAGCTTTATAGGGTTCGTCTTTCATGCTGGAGTTGCTGATATTGAAATTTCACCTTAGGAACCCTAGGGTCTTGTTAGCCTGTTTGCACACATTGTTAATGTGCCAAGCGGACCTCTCTTTGAATGGTAACATTGAGGTACCTTACGGAGGAAACTGGCTCAAGAATAGGGCCATGTAATTTGTGAGGGTGGTGTAGAGAGGATCAGCATCTGGAGATTGACAGGGTCTGGCACTTGAGGGGATGAAATTCCATGTCCCAGCTCATCTTCCACTCAGCTAACCGATGGAGGTCCTGTTGTAGCTGGTTCTGATCAGAACTATTGGCGATTGTCCTATACACCGACGTGTCTTCTGCGACCAGTCTTGCTGGAAGGTCAGCTTCACTGGCAGGTCATTGAATTATGCTGTTTGTTCAGGGGCCTAGCACCGAGCCCTGGGGGACCCCTGACTTAACACCGAAAAAGGAGGTTATGCCATCTACCACAACTGCCTGGCATCAGTTGCTGAGGAAGCTTGAGATCCATGTGTTGGTAGTGCCTTGGATAATAATAATAAGACGTCTTATATAGCGCGGTACTCCAGCCTAGATCCCATATCTCTGAAGTTTCTGTAGTAGAAAACTATGATTGACATGGTCAAATGATTTTGAGAAGTCCATCACCAGCACATCAGTTTGCTTGCTGTTCTCCAGATTGATCTTCTGCAAATTCAAGGAGCTGGGTCTCACATGATCTATTGACTCGGAAGCCATAGTGGCAGTCATTGAGTATATTGTGGCTTTCAAGATTCTTTATGACTGCGCTTATGATTATGTGCTCCAACAGTTTGCATACCACTGGTGAGGCGGTAGTTGGCAGGGTTATAATGCTCCCCTTTTTTGTAGATTGGGGTGACATGCACTGTTCTCCAGTCGGTCGGGACATTGCCAAGCATAGAAGAAAATTGTCAGCGAGGGGGCAATTTCATCAGCCAATTCTTTGAGCACTTGTGGTTTGATGTTGTGAGGACCACATGCCTTGTAGGGGTTAATGGTTTTAAGGAGTGCCATCACATCCTGCTCTGAAATCTGGATATCATCCATGACGGGTCAGCTCAACCTCGGAGTACTCTCTACCATCACCTAAGATAAACTGGAACTGGAATTGTTAACCCCCTAACTGATATTCATTGAGGTATCCGCTCTGGTCACAACAACTTTTAACAGTAACAGATATATCAGTATAGGAAGAAAGTTTGTAAGGGGAGAGACAATCAGGTTAGCAATATAGGAAATTAGTAAAACAAAGTAAGGTTAAACCTGAAAAAAGGAACACAACAAAAAAACAAACGTTGCGGCAGGAAGCCTTGGTCAGCGAACAAACAGAAAAAACCGATATAAAATTAAAAAATATCACTTAGCTGAGAAGTAGTATCCAAGAGGGGAGCACAATTCAGTTCCTTGTTATGTTGCGTTTTTTTTTCAGGTTTAACTTTACTTTGTTTTACTAATTTCCTAGGAGGAAAGTTACAACAGTAATGTTGGTCATGACATTTTTTAAAATAATTAATATTCATTTGAAGTGATATAAATCTTTCTAAGACACCTGACTTGTTTATCTAAGGTTCAACATTGTTGGATATGGTTGTATGACCTGTATAGGCAACAGTGGACCATTACCTGATGAAGTAGCTGAGGCCATAGAGAAGGTAAGCACACAAACAGATTTCTTTACCTGATGAAATTGAGGTAACTATGAGAAAATGAACATTTTGTGACATGGACTAATTAGCAACCAATTTCCACAGCTAAATGAATTGTTCTTTATGTAAAACAAAAAGTCTTTTTGTATTTGAAATGATGGGAACCATGAACATCTTAACTGTAAAACATGGGGGGAACCTGAACATCTTAACTGAAACATGAGGGCCCATGAAAACTTCATTTATAAAACATGAAGGCCCCTTAACATCTCAGTTTGAACACATGGGGGCTATGAACATCACATTAGTTAAACACGAGGGCATTATTTTTTTTGTTTAAAATGATGGGCCCTCAACATCTTATTTTGAACACATGGGGAGCCCATAAACATCTTATTTGTAAAACATGGGGGCCACTTAACATCTCAAGTGTAGCAAAATGTCCCATGAAAACTCAAATCTGGCACAGTTGAAATGTGTGAACATAACATTTGATTCAATTAATGCCACACCTAGTAACATGTCATTTTTGCAGTATGACATTTCATTTATGGATCACACCAAATAACATATCATTTATTGATCAAACCAAGCAACATGTCATTTACGGATCACACTAAGTACAACATAACGATCATTTATCTTTCTAAGGGAGACCTGGTGGTGTGTGGTGTACTGTCTGGAAACAGAAATTTTGAAGGTCGAATTCATCCACTTACTCGAGCCAACTACCTAGCATCACCTCTGCTGGTCATAGCATATGCTTTGGCAGGAACAGTTGATGTGGACTTTGAAACAGATGCATTAGGTCAGTAATTTATATATATATATATAACCGAAATAATATATATATATATTTTTTCTATCAGCTGTTAAAAGTGCTTTGAATTCTTAGATTTTCTAACAGTCAATATGTGAATCAAGCTTTGGGAAAACATGAAAAAAAAAAGATGTAACAAAACAGCAAACGTGACAGTAGCTGTGGGTTATTCCGTTAAATATTTATAGTTTGAAATGCCACCGATAACTTGTGCCACTTTACATAACTTATGCGAGGATTGCAGGCCTGTTGACCCCAACCCTTGGCAGTAGTAAATACGTTTGTAAGCCTAAGTCTATGGCACTACAATGAGCCTAAAAGAATTATGGTTACAGACATTTTTATTTTTAAATCATTTTTATTTAAATTTAAAAATTCGGGTGGGTTTTCAGTAAAAAAAAAAAAAAAGAAATAATTTTTTTTAACCTTTGCTGCCAATTAATCCTATGCTCATTTTTGAACCGAACAATCCATCATTTATTATTACTACTTCCTGTAGCGCTGAAAATTTTGTCAGTGCGTCGAGAAAAAGAAGAAAAAACTAAACTGATGACAATTTACTACAAGTAGTGACAAAAAAGAAGACAAAGATAGTTCCAAATTGAAACTGTAAGGGAATATCTGTATTGAACTTTCATTTCAACTTTTGCACATGCCTATTTAATAAACTATTGTTTGCACATGAGGGAATATTTGTATCGAACGATCAACTTTTGCACATGACTAATTAAATAACTTTGCTGGCATCCGTCCGTCACAATCCACATGGCCTGGGAATATACTTTAGGGATTATAAGCTGGTTCCCAACAGCAAATCGCCTCTCTCCACGCCGCTGGGTAACCCAAGGGAACATCATTGGATGATACAACTTGGCGTCGGTGACGTCGCAGGAGTTGCCAGAATGTTTCATTGTATGTTATCCGCCTTTCGGGACTCCATCTCCGGGTTTGATTTCAGAGTTTCCTTCTCTTAGATGAGTTGCCAATCCAAGGTTAACGAGTCTCATCTACCCGGGGTGCTTGACTGAGCTGTAACTGGAATTGAACTCCAGACCACCAACTTGAGATTTGCTCAGTTTAGACCATTCGGCCACCCAGCACTATAACTATTGTTTACACATTGCTTTAAATGTTATAAATGAATCTCTGAGAAAATGCAAGGCCTATCAGTTAATGCATACTTGTAGTAAACATGATTGTTTATGGTTGTCCATGACAATGGCTTCACACTGCACTACAACTACTACAAAAGTGAAAATGAGACAGTCAACTGGGATCTTGACCCAAATTCGGATTTAAATATTGTAAAGCATTAAAACTTAAACTAATTAGGCTAGACCAGGGTTGGAGAACCTGAGCATGTGGCCTTCTAGGTTTTCAAGTGCGGTCTTTTGACTTTATAATTTAAAAAAAAGAAATCTGTTTATTTTTATTAACTTTTTATGTACTGTCTGCTTAGCATTAAGAAATAACTAGATTTTAATGCATTTTTCTGTGCATATAAATTTATATTATAAATAATTTACACCTTCCGACAACATTACTAGATAAATTGGTAGTGGTCCGATAGCTTGCATAAATGCTGCTTCCAATTGCAACTTGACAAGTGCCCCAAATCGGGGTTGGACTCTAGTCTTAAAGCTATATATTTCTCCAACTAATTACACAATCACCCCTGCCCTCTAAGCCCACAATTCTTCCCTGGATTAATCACTTTATACATGTATATTCTAAATTGTATCTGCTCTGCACACTGCTGTATCCTTGATAATGTTGGACCTTTAGGCTATGGCTAGACCTGGCTATGAATTAATATGATTTGTCATTTTATCTCAGTGTGGATACTGATGACTGTGCTTTTTTAAATATCATTTTAGTGAGTTTTATTATTTAGTTGACTGTGTGTGAATACTTTAGAGATTTGCAATGCTCTCAACAAAACAAGAGCATTCATCAAGAAAATGGCAGAACAATAACAAACTTTTCTAGTTTCCAAGATTAAGATTGGCCCATTTACTATCTCGACTTTGATTCCAATGAAGTTTCTGAGAAGCAGACTTTATCCTCAAGAGCACTGAAACGTCTTCTTGTACTGAAATCCAGCCTACTAAGTGCTATTGACAGAGCATTGAGCTTCACGCACACTGACCTGAACTAGCTCAAATCTGCTTATCAATCGAGCATGTCTGTTCAATCAGTGCCTTTTGAGCTTGTCTTAGACCCTTTCTCATCCTATCTATTTATTAGTGTAAATATTTGATGTATTAAAATAACTCTTATTTTTCATGCATTTGTATTTTGTATTGCCATTAATAAGAATATAAGCAGTGGTGTGGATCCCCCACTCCTCATTGACCAAACAACTCTTTTAGGCTTGAAACTATAATTTTGAGAGCTGAAAACTATTCTGACACTAACCAAGGGGTAAACAGGTCTGCTATTGATTCTTGTCTTTTTCACCACTCCTCTTTATGATATTTAGTGCTGGTCTCTCCTACTCAGTACCACCTTCTTTGTGATATTTAGTGCTGATCTCTCATACTCGGCACTACCCTTCTGTGGCATTTATTGTTGATCCCTCCTTCTCAGTACCCAACCCTCCATGACATTTAGTGCTGATCCCTCCTACAAAATAATTTGTGATCAACATGGATTACTTCAAGTCAGTGGTTACCTAATCTAAATGAGCACAAGTTATTATTGTCACTAAGGGAGTGAAGTTTTATGGTATATGATGGCTCATTTTTAAACTTGAGAATACTTTTGTTTAAATTTTTCTAGTTTAAAATTTTGACTTGGTAAGAATATTTATTTATCCGTTTACTGAAAATGAATATATGCAATTAAATGAAACATTTCCATCAATAAAAGAATCTTATCTTATAATTTTGAATATCAGCGCCCACCCCCCTCCTTTTTTCCCTTTTTATAAAAAAAACTTATATCACAACCTCCTCCTTTTCCCTTGGACCTTTGAGAGTATATAATCACGGTAATGTGTATTTTAGGCACAAGTCCTGAAGGCAAGCCCATCTTCCTCAGAGATATCTGGCCTACAAGGGAAGAGATTCAAGATGTGGAGAAAGAATTTGTTGTGCCAGCCATGTTTCAGGATGTTTATTCTAGAATAACAGTAAGTACAGGGGAGACAGGTTCTAAGACAAATCGTAAGTCTAAGGTCAATAGTAAGCCTTATGCCAATTGTAATTCTTAGACCAATAGTCAATAGTTAGTCTTAAACCAATAGTTAGTCTTAAGGCCTGCAGTGAGTCTTATGGCCTGCAGTGAGTCGAAGGCCAACAGTAAGTCTAAGGCCAATAGTAAGTCTAAGGCTATCGTTAATCTTTGTAATAACTGGTTAACCACAACCTTCTGGTTCCACCAAACTTTCCTTCTTTCAGGACCATGTGCCGCATCACTGTTTGTTTCATAGTAAAAAGTATTGATATATTTACACTCTTACTTTTGTTTTGGTTTCATGTTTTAATTTACCAACAAGAAGTAAATTAAATAACAAATTGGGACAGTCAGAATTAGTGGCATAGGTTGGGGGATGTAGACCGCACCGGATGTCACCATCTTAGGGGGTGACGCTAAATTGAAAAAATTCATGTTTACAGAGCACACACTGCTTGGTCTAACCGAATTTCATGAAATAAAAGGATAACCGATCACACTTAAATTTTCTACATTTGTAACCAATCCAAATGCATTTTTAATTAAAAGTTCTAGGTTGATGCATGAGAAATAAGGGGACCCTATAATTAGGTCCGAAAAACACCATTTTGACCATGATTCGATGCGGATTGAAGTGTTCTGTAACTTTTGCTAAGTGACAGGAAAGTTTATGTTTACCTAAAATCTGAGAAATAAAGCTTTCCATTGATACCAAATACGACGTGGTCAGGTGATTCTAATTATTGAATGAGTAAAAATTAAAAACATTAAAAAAATGACATTTTACCCATTTATAGGATTATCCAAAAAAAATTCAAAATTTTCTAATATCTTTTAATAATTAATTTAATTTTAAAATCTTTTTTGTTAAAAAAAATTTTTTCAAACTAAATATATCGAAACCCAGAAATACTAAAAAATAAATATTTTCGCTTATTCGTCACTAGCAAATGCCCCTTAACATTTGTTGTATTTTTGATAACGCGCTGACTGTGTTTTTTTTAACTGTCGTAAATAATTATTTTGTTTATTGTCTTGAACACGGCGCAATAAAAGCATTTTTATTGTTCAAGATTATTCTTTCATACCACACGGCATGCACAAATCTAAACAACCTGGTGGCTGCCAGCAGCAAAAAAGAAAAGATGTGACTCACTAAAATCACTATAAGGATGCTTCGATATATCAATAAACCAATTGTTGGCCAGAGTTCACCAAAAGATGTTCATCAGCATACCATTGGTACTGTTTCTCCGATACCAACAGCATGCATTCTAAAGAACAGGACTTATTGCAGAAAAAGGAAGAGATTGACGTGGAAACATAAGTAAAAGACATGGATGGTTTGGAAACACAAATGGGTGCTGATAATCGTCTTCTTCTTGTTGATAATTTTCTTCTTCTATATTTTGAGGGCCTACGATCAATGAGTTGATCATTCTGGCTCTTATGTTTCAGTGGGGTTCCCGATGTTACTGTGCATGGTTTTCAAGGGGATACTTCACTGGTGCAAGGGCTACTCAGCAGTGGTATTATGAACTGGGGGTTGGAAGACAGGAGGCAATAGACACCAATGTGTCGAGTGTGGTCGCCTCAACTATTGCTTTTGGAAGCTTGTTCGAGTCCCTTATTGTCTTTGACAGGAATAAGAAGCTCCTGTACCGAGTTCTTGTTTTCATGAGCCGTAACTGCCTGTCGTGGCCTCGTCGCTGTCTAGGGGGGCGATAGACAAGTTTCTGTTTGATGCTGGAGCAGTGGATCAGCCCATTTTTTATCTTGTACAACATGGTGAGCCTGGGTAGTCGTTTTCGTTCATCCAATGGTGTTTCTAGCGTTCAGGACAAGGAAGGACCATTCAGCCAAGTGACAAGGCAACATGCGAAATTTAAAGGAGGTGTGCTCCAACTAAAAAAAATATGTTTCTACAGGATGATGCAAATTGGTGAGAAAATACTGTGGCCATGGATGGTTTATTCACTCTTCAGTCAGAATTTGTACCTTTTTCTGCAGATTGTTTGCTGTTAATGTTACAGAAACAACATCTAAATTTGTTACTGGGTTTGATAAGTTGGGGAAACAGCCAAATTTACAAAATCAGGAGGCATAGGAAGAGCACCTATGTGTCTAAAAAATGAAAAATATTATCAGCAGGACTTAAGCTACAGAAAACAATTAAAGCAGAAAGCATTGCTGTGATGGGCAGCGAGAAGAAAAAGTGGAGGTATCCTGCACAGGTTTGTGTATATCAAATTGTTTGTTGCAAAGCAGAATCTGGCATTTCGTGGCCACAACAAAAGTGAATCTTCATTAAATTGAGAAAAATTGATTGTTATTTTTGAGATACTATCTAAAAGAGCACTTAATGACACTAAAGAGGAGTTCATCTACCGTATTTTTGTGCATATAAGACGCACTTAATTATATGACGCACCCATATGTGACACAGGTTTTGGCAATTTGTGTTTTTAAAAAAGTACATAAGACCCACGTGGCCTTGCCATCTGCCCCACTGAGCAATTTATATCCAGTGGTTTCCTTTCCTTTATCATAAATGAAAAATTGTCCATTGTTTCATCATCTATCGGATGTAAACAAGGCTTCATTACCATTTTTATTTTACCAGTAGATCAAAGCATTGTCTGAGACAGGACCACAACGATTATTGTTTATTCTTATCTGGGCCAATAGCGTTTGAGTTGAGTACCTGGTATCTAGATTCTAGAAATAATAAATGCCAGATGTAAAGGCGGCTATACTGTTCGTTGGTGTTAAAAAATATTCACGCATATAAGACACACCAAATTATAAGACGCACCCATATTTAAGACACAGGTTTTGACGATTTTTGTAAAAAATATTTTACATAAGATGTACCCATATATAAGATGCACCCTGGATGCGAGGTATGTTAAACTTTGTGTCTTAAATGTGCCAAAATATGGTGCAGTAAAAGTTTCCGCATCTTACCTTTCACCAGAAACATGCAAATCATGTCAAGGAGATTCTTATCATGGATAGAAAGGCTGCAAGGTATTTTGGAATGATGTTAGACAGTACACCTTATATATCACACACTGACTAGACATCTGAAGTGATCAAATGTATGAAAATCCACAATGTGAAAGTTGAAGTGAGACAAGTCTTAGTGTTTCTTGGATTTTTCCCTTTTAATGTGCAAAAAATGCTGATGACCTCAGTTCTGACATTCTTACAAATCTAAAATCTGATGGACTAGACATATTGGTGTGCAGAGTTCAAGGTTACAATAAAGCTGCCACAATGTCTAGAATCCATGGCCATTCTAAAAAGAAATAATAAGAAATTGATTTTAATGGATGTGTGGGCCATTCACTTAACTTGTGTGGTCAACACTCTTTTGCCAAAAATGCGTCATGTATTACATTTTTCAGTACTCTTGAGTGAATATTTTCCTTCTTTGCTGCATCCACTCATCGATGCGGTGTTTTAATTGAACCCACTGGAATGCCGGTGCAAGGACTGTCAAAAACACGGAGTGCTCACCATGCTGTTGTTAAAATAGTGAAAGATAATTTTGTTGAATGTGTTGTGTCAATTGAAGCTCTATGTGATCCTTTTGATACAAGAGGTACAGCACAAGGTCTTTTAAAGTGGTTATTAAAGAGAAGTGATGTCACTTGGTGGAAAATGCTATTGAAAAGGCTCTTTTTAAAATTAGACCAATATGGAATTTCAGTAGAGAGAAGGATAAGGTTTCATAAGAGAATGGCAGGAGAACAGTTAATAGATGCTGGACTCTCTGCGTGCTGCGTGAAGAAAACAGTAGGGAGATCGCTTGCATAATGAACTCCATATCAGATCATCACTAATCTAGGAAGTAACAGCTATGCTTGGGGCTGTTGAACCCAAGAGTCTGCAATCTGCAAGTGAAGAAGAGTGAAGATGAACTTTTAAAAGAAATACCAAGGCTTAGAAGACACCTAAATGCAGCTGATACTGAATTTCACAAAGTTATGGACTGGTGTTTGATGTTTTGATGCAAAGCTGAATAGGAATTCCTGGAATCTCTTCCAATACTCAGGCATGTTGGTGGCTTGATGTGAGTGGAGCTTTCCATAACTAAGTCTTACCAAGATTGATTTATGATCCACCATGGGACAGTCAAGGCTCTCTGATCGAGCTCTACTTTCAATTGAAAATTATGCATTGAAGGATATTGATTTTGATCAAGTGATTGACAAGTTTGCAGTTTTGAAAACAAAAATTTTTAATAAAGTAAATTTTATGTAAAAATTACTACAAACGCTGTTACAGTTCTTAAATAGATTTACCTCCCGAGCTTCAATTAGTTTTTGTTCTTGTGATTGTCTTGCTGTGGACTTATTTTAACAAGGAGAAATCCATCATGGAAGTTTACTGTACCGGATGACACCAACCCTAGCTACGCCACTGGTCAAAATGTAAACAAAATTGTATCTTTTGTCATATCTATCATATTTTGAGGGTTGTTAGAAAGTAATTTTCATGAAAACTTCAGATAAGGTTACCAAAAGCAAACATACTGTAAATAAGTTGGAGATATTTTTTTTTCAATTGCTGATTTTTAAAAACATTTTTAATTAGGTGTAGATGTGATAATATAAAGTATTAGAAGTGTAAATAACAATTAAATGATTTGGAAATTCAAAGCTTGAAAATAAGGTAGCACATTTTTATAATTTTTGAATGCTTTTCTCTTGTACATAATAATTTAGCAATATTAACAAAAATGTGTTTTAGATTTAAAGAAAATTAATTTATCTACAAAATGGTATATATTACTTATAAAAAGTATTAAGAAAACATCAACTGAATTTGTACCTAGACCTGCGTGTGAGAAAATGTGACCTACACTAAATTCAGCCACATTTTTTTTTCAATGCAGTAGCTAATGAGTTAAGCTCTTGAATATATTTTTTCTAGCAAGGAACCAAGCGATGGAATGCTTTAGAGGCACCAGATTCAAGTCTATACCCATGGAATGACAAGTCAACCTACATCAAGTCACCTCCTTTCTTTGACACAATGGTCAGTATATCAAGTCGCCTCCCTTCTTTGGCATAATGATCAGCACATCAAGTCACCTCCCTAGCAATGGGACCCGGGTGGGAATGGTGGCGATGTGTGTCCGGGTTCGTTTTGACTAAATGCTATTCGGATGTCATTATTTTAGTTAAACTGAAGAAATAAGTTTACAAACATATAGTTTATTCAATTATCTTTCATTTGATACCTCATTTTGTCTTACAAACCCAACAATAATATTTTAAATAGTTTTTTTATCCCAACCTCTCACTTCTGGTACCCGGGTACGAATAGCCACTTCATTACATCAAATCACCAATCTCCCTTCTATGACCAAATGGTAGATTGGACCCTCAGAATCATTATAATCAGAGATACAGATTTTTCAGACTGTGTTTTAAAAAGCCATGCCTACCCAGTTGAATATTTTGGTCTTAAGAATTAAAATTATATCAGAAAGTCTGTACATGAAATGTGTTGCAAATAGTTTCTGGCCAGTCATAATTAACTGATCTGTGTCTTATTAGACAGCATAAAATATGAATATGTTGTATATAGCACAGTGTAAAATATGAACATGTTGGTCTTTAGCACAGTGTGAAATATAATAAATGAAATAGTTGAACAGGGTATGTTGAAGCTTGAAATGAAAAGACATGACAATAAAATATGAAGATGTTTTCTAAAGCACTATGTTAATCATTAATTGACTTGTTACTTATGGATGTGTTGTATTTAACAGGAAAAAGATTTACCAGATGTTAAACCAATTAAAAATGCTTCTGTTCTGCTTCACCTGGGTGACTCTATAACCACAGACCACATCTCACCTGCTGGAAGTATAGCCAGGAACAGCCCAGCTGCCAAATATTTGGCCTTACAAGGGTTGGCATACGAACTTAACATTTTACTAGCACCACATCTGATGTGCATAAACACTTGATATTCTAATTAATAAAGTCTATAAATTGTATGCCATTATAAATTTAGAATATATAATTTGTTAGGGGTGCCCACACTCCCAGGGGGTGCCTGTGGCAGTGTCTTGGGGTGTAAGAGGACCCAGAAAATCATGTTTATTTGCATTATTATTTTCATTTTAATAATGGAGGGGAGGTAATTATAAGTTTAAATAGAGATGTGGGTGCGGGAAATGTTTTGAAACCAAGAGGGGGTGGGACACTGCAAAAATATTAAGAACCCCTATAGTGTATTGTACCCTAAGATTTAAAAGATATTTTTGAAAAGAAAGTCTCATTTCATGTACACTGATGTTTACTGTTTATTATTTTGTCTAACTAATAATTTCAGACTTGTACCTCGTGAATTTAATTCTTACGGGTCCCGTAGAGGTCACGATGAGGTCATGGCTCGTGGAACATTTGCCAACATTCGTTTAGTCAACAAATTCTTGAGCAAACCTGGACCTCGTACAGTTCACCATCCAACTGGCGAGGAGGTAATGTTCAATTACTGTCAAAACAAGTTACTGTCCTTACTGAATCAAATAATAGATGCAGCTCTGTTTAAGGGGTCATTCATAAAGGATGTAATCCACACAATGTAGGGGTCATTCATAAAGGATATCAGCCAAGCGATGGTAAGGGGGAATTTTTTCAAATGCTATGTTGAAAAAAAATAATTATGCATCAGGATTTTGTAATAAAATTCAGTCTTCTAATTCTCTTCATGAACTTAATTTGTGTAGATGGACATTTTTGATGCTGCACAACGCTATAAGGTTGAAGGTTGCCCATTGGTCATCTTAGCTGGTAAAGAATATGGATCAGGATCATCACGTGACTGGGCTGCAAAAGGACCTTGGATACTGGTGGGTCAATACTTATTATTATGAACTGTCCAATTTACTTATATAATATATCTGTCATTTTGTCCTAGTTTCTATCATACCTCCATCATCTGTCATTTTTATAACTTCTCTTCTAAGCCCCATCTTATTATATGTGATCTTTTCTTCTGTTTCAGGTCCCTAGTTTCTTTATAATGTGTATTGATGAAATATGTTTTGATGTAATGTGTTTATATAATATTAGGGGCCATTCATATTTTATGTGCTTAAAAAAGTCAACATTTCATAAATCCCTCCCCTGATGCACCCATACATTTTAGACATTCCCTTTGCGATGTAGGCAATTTAAGGAAGTTACCATATCCCTGTTTTAAAGTACATCACAGTTTTCTATCTTTTTTTGAAACCATTGTCAGTTTGGCAAAGCAAGTGTAATTTTTGGTTCAAAATAATTGCCTTAAAATTACACCACACACAAAGCAACATACAAAGGCAAACTAACCCCTGCACACGTACACAAAATATCCTACAATCAATCAACAACCCTCTTTCTGCCTTATTATGTATATTATATAGGGATGATACCTTATGTTTTTTTTAATGTGTATGATTTTATATGTATTAATGTAATTGTTTTTTAATGGTGTGCTATTCAGGGAGTACGAGTTGTTCTTGCAGAGAGCTATGAACGTATACATCGTAGTAACCTGGTTGGTATGGGTATTGTTCCTTTGCAATACTTGGATGGACAGAATGCACAGACTCTGGGTATTACTGGGAGGGAGAAATTTACAATCAATTTGTCTACTGATCTATTACCTGGACAGGTAGTTACTGTGGAGGTGAGTAGCTGATAACATAGACAAGTAGGTTCTGTGTAGGAGAGTGGATAATAACATGCACAGGTAGTCACTCTGGAAGTGAGTAGATAGTAACATGTGGACATGCAGTTACTGTGGAAGTGAGTAGGTGATAACATGGGCAGGTAGTTAACTGTGGAAGTGAGTAGATGATAACATGGGCAGGTAGTTACTGGTGAAGTGAGTTGAAGCAAGGCGATTTTTCTAGAGCTGCGCAGAATTAGTCATATCAGACCTTTCTTAATATTAGACGCATCGAAGAGGCTGATGTCTGCATTCGTGCTATCACGTATGGACTATTGCAATGCTCTTATGGTGGGTCTTCCAGCTACGCTCCTGGATAAAATTAAAAAAGCCCAGAATAATGTGGCACGCATTGTTCTTCGAAAACGCAAATTCGACCATGCTAAAACACTTCTGAGATACTTGCATTGGCTGCCGGTCCGCGCTCGCATAGAGTACAAAATTTCAACTCTGTGCTACCACTGCTTGCATGACCTGGCACCATCCTATCTCAAAGCGCTACTTACGCCTTATGTACCCACTAGACAACTCCGCTCATCTGATAGTGGCTAACTCTCGATACCAAGTGTTCGTCTTGAGACTTACGAGGGGCGCACTTTCGCATTTGCTGGCCCAACAATTTGGAACACTCTTCCTATCGCTATCAGAAACAGCCAGACACTGGAGTCTTTCAAAACTGATTTGAAGACTTATCTTTTTCGCAAACACCTGCTGGGGTGATGTTGTCTATCTAGCAATTATCTTTTAGATGTATTTTGGCCTGTGTTGTTTATGGTTGCAAGGTATGAAAGACTTAGAATGGGTAATCTTGTATGTAGTTTTGTAATGTTGAATTTTGTACTTCAATGTACATACCACGCTTGAGCCTTCGGGCATGAAGCGTGATTTTTAAATAATCTTTATTATTATTACTATTATTATTATTTATGTTATTGTAGAAATAGAAACCTTCAACCCTCCCTTTTTTGATGTATCAGTAAAAAATACAAACAAAATACTCCCTCCCCCAAAACATATTGTGTAATAGTAATAGGAAAATATGTGAACATATGGGAAGATTCATTAGAAATAAAATGTGCTTGCCTCCTTTGAACCAGCCAGACTGCTTGCCCACAGCACCCATTCATGTTTCAAAATAGCTGTGTTTTTTTGGTTCTCCTTTTAATGACTTGTTAGAGGGTTTTCATCTAATTTTCATCATTTTACAAGTCTTATTGTCTAAATAAGTAAGCATCTTTGAAGAATTGTTTTTATTTTACAGTTAGATGATGGACGCAGCTTTGAGGCCAAACTGAGATTTGACACTGAAGTGGACTTGACCTATTTCCGGCATGGAGGAATTTTGAATTACATGATTCGTAAAATGCTGTAATGTGAGCTGACTCAAAAAGATCGTTTTTATTCTTATTCAATCAGCTCATTCAATTTTTTATAAGGCCAAAGATAAACTTCCTGTAACTGTATGTAAGGATTTTATTTAATTCATTCATAATATAATGTTCATAGTTCATTATGTCATGTGATTAGCATTAAGTCATGTGATATTTTCTTAAACAAATAAATTGGATACCAGGTACTAAAGGAAAGTAGTTAGAAATTAGAAATTGTAGTAGGTACAATAATACTGTGGGCACTGTCATTAAATTAAATTGAAGATTGTGGGCTGTCATTAAATTGAAGATAGTGGGCTGTAAAAATATTGAAGATCTGTGGGCTGTTAAGAAATTGAAGATGGTGGGCTGTCATTAAATTAAAGCTTGTGAGCTGTGATTAAAGATTGTCTGCCATTAAACTGAATAATGAGGGCTGCCATTAAATTGAAGATTCAAAACAACTTTTGTTCACTATGTGGACCCCTTCATCAATGATTTATCTTATGTATATGAGGTACATGTAGGTGTCAAAATGTTAATGGATATTTAAAAAACAAAATTTTTAAAGTTGTGTGTGTTACAGACTGTTGAAGAACTCATTTGTTAAAGAAGACATTTATTAAAGTAGATATTTATTTAAGAAGGTATTAGTTAAAATTAGTATTTTTTTTTATTAAATGTATTTTTCAAATAAGGTGTTCATAACATTCTCTGTCCCTGCCATGCAACTGTCACAGACTGCCTAGTTGAAAGATTTCCTATTTGAGTTGCATGCTTTAGTAAATTAAGATATCTTATAATATTAGGGGCGGACACTTTATGCCTATGACTTGTGTAAGATGGATGGGTGCATTGGCTGTTGGTTTGTGTTAGATGAGTATGGAGTGGGCAACATTGTCTGTGCAACTTGTGTTAGATGGGTGGGCAACATTGGCTTTGACTTATGTTAGGTGGGTAAACAGTGGGAAACATTGGCTGGTGACTGTTGTTAGATGGAGGGGAGTGGGCAGCTTTGGCTGTTGACTTAGATAGGTGGGGGTGGGCAACATCAGCACCTGTTTGTTTTTCATGTTTTATTTGACATAATTAATGAAATACACAATCTTTTTTCTATAATCAGATCTCCAGCATGTGTTTAAAGAATTAGATTTTGATGTTTGAACTCAGATTATGACTGCTGTGGAGTAGTGGATCAGCAATAAAAGCGACTGAAAGATTTCACAATTTTGTGTTTATTAAATTACAGTGTTGTTTTTGTGTATAAAAGTTAGTAGCAGTGTCCTAGTTTGTTTTTAGCTGTGTTTATTATTTTTTTTATAAAAGCTCTTGTAAATGTTTCTAAAACAACTCTGAGAGAAAACTGAAAACACTAAGCAGCACTAAAATAGGCCATGCTCTCCTACCCTGTCTGTGGTAATGCTATTTATTTGCAATACTTATGAATTAATTAAGGACCCATGGCTGCCAGCTATACTTTCTTAGTTGTTAAAACTTGACCCCCAAAGGCTAACCCCACATCCCAAATATTACCCACCCCCAAAACTGACTAATTACTTATTGTCCAATATTTCTTGTTACCAACTTTACCACCCTTTGCACTCCAGAAGTGGGGCACTCCCCCATATTCAAAGAGTGGAAAAAGGGGGGGGGGGGGGGGGGGTGAGGTTTTTCCCCCCCACCAAGGCCAAGAGGAATAAAAATGTAACATAAGCAACATTCAATCAAGTTAAACTTCGATGAATTCAATTTATTGATACAAAAAACAAAATCATTCAAAATCAATAATAGTTCTAAAAATCAGAAGAAAAAAACAAAACTAAAGACTAAATAATCACTCACAGAGGACGAGGATGGTAAATTATCATGTCATTATTTTACAGTAACAGATAGATAGAAAAAAATTAAATATAAATCAACAAAATTGCCTGGTTTTTTGCAGATAATTGTTTTATTATTGGTCCATGGTCTCAAGGATGTCATTTTTCATGCACGTAAGTGAACGCTATTTCAAACGTTTTTGTCTCATTGTAGTGCGAAGCTGATTCTTACCTTGTTTTGTTTGATTCGTATCTGGGGAAAAGTAGAACTTCTTGATGCGAGTTTTCCCCTTTAAAGGTTTTAATTATGTCCAACTTTGATTCGCATTTATAATAATTAATAATAATAATTTTTTAATGTGCTGATATGTATCGTGGGTTAAAATTGGGAATTTTAAATCCAATTACTTAAATTACATTGTCAGTCAAAATCTTTCAATATCCATTAAAAACATGCAAAGCATGACGCTTCTATAAGAGTGAGTCTCCTAGAAACGTGGGGCCCCCTACAAGCGCTAAACCCATGCCTTAGGGGTCGTCCATTAATTACGTTAACAATTTTTAAGCTTTTCCGAATCGAATTTAGTCAAAATGGAACCGGGAACGCATCGCCACTATTTGGACGCGGGTCTCTCTAGACTCAATGCTATTCGGATTTCATTTGTGGTAGTTTATTTTAGTTAAACTGAAGAATTAAGTTTACAAACATATAATCCATTCAATTATCTTTCATTTTGGTACCAAATTTTGTTTTACAACCTAACAATTATATTTTTTTTTTAATTTTAATCCCAACCTCTGACTTCTCCGACAAGGGTCCGAATAGCCATGCACTTGGTATTTAAATTGCTATGTAGGCCTACTATGTACCGTGGTGCCTTCAGTAATAATAAACTTAACAAGCCGACCAAGTTTTGGGTTTGCCCCCCCCCCCCCCCCCCCCCAAAAAATAAAGACGCCCCTGATGGCCATAGCCTATAGTCTAGAATAGTAATGGTAGCTGATTTATCATTGTCATCTTGTGACTATTGATATACCAGGCAAGTCAACATAATCCTCATCTAACCATTCAGCACTTAAATATTAAAATAAAGTCATTGTCGGTGTAAGCAATAGTTGCCATAAGCTCTATCTCCTTGCAGCTACTCGCATTGGTCGAATCCTTTTTTGTTCAGGAGCAGGTGCTAATTTCTTATGCTCAAGAGGGCATTGTCGGTTCTGTTGAACATGCTTTTTCAACATGACTTGTGATGGATGCTAAATAGATGTTACAGATTTTGCAAATTTTGTTACTTTACATTCCCCTAATTCTCAAAATATCGTATTCCTACTCTATTAATATCATTTATCTTGACTGCATATGACACTTGAACCTTGTCCTTGTTCCATATCTGCAACAGAATCTACAGGTGAAGGGAGTCCAACTTTTGACTTCTCTTGCGCTAACAATGTGTGCTAACATTCTGACCAGTCATCTGCAGTGCACAGACACATTAATAAATCTTACATCGTTAAAAGCCTAAAAATTGTATGACTATATTAGAGACCGACCGAAAATGATTTTCTGATTTCGGCCGAAGCCGAAAATAGGCCGAAAGTTTAAAATGACTTTTGGCCGAAACCGAAAAAAATACCGAAAGTTAAAAATGAATTTTGGCCAAAACCGAAGCCGAAAATGAAATATTAAGATATTTTGAAATTCGTTCCCGCATACATTCTGCATACATCGAAAATGATGTGGGGAAAGTATAAATATTTACATTCTTTTTATAAAAAATTAGATAATCGTGAATATTAATAAATAAACATCTAATATAGGGGTCTCAAACTGGCGGCCCGCGAGCCATTTGTGACCCGCAAGACGATATTTTGCAGGTCACTAGATGATAGAAAAGTTTAGTGTTAATGCGCGAGCGCGTTTCCCCCATTCTCATATCTATGACGTGACTCTCCGCGACGGTTTCAGTCGAATCTCACCGACTAGTCTAATTCTGATTTTTTTTTTTTCAATGTTTCTATATATTTTTGTATGTCGGGTCTCTGGCAACAGTGAGTAGTTCTTTAGAACCTTAATGATTTTATTATTATTTATATACGTTAAGCAGATTGTAACAGTTGTAATCGCTTTTTTTGTGGATTACTTGATGCGGCCCACTCTCAATCAGACACTACCTCCTGAGCGCCCCCACCCCCCCTTTCCCCCTATGATTTGAGTTTGAGACCCTTGTTCTAAGAATACTTAGGATTTTACCATTTTAATATAAAAGTAATTTAAATTTCTTTACAATTTTTTTTTAAAATTAGTATGGTAGGAGAAAATATGGGGGGGGGGGAGGGGGAAATATTTGTGTTTTAGACCCTTTTTTTAAGAATAATTAGGATTTTTCCATTTTAATATAAAAGTAATTTAAATTTTTTTACAATTTTTTTTTAAAATTAGTATGGTAGGAGAAAATATGGGGGGGGGGGAGGGGGAAATTAATGCAAAATATTTTTTTTTTGAACAGGGTCTCTAAAAAATGTGGTTCTAAAAGATCGCTTAATTTTGTTTTTAAATATCGTTTAGTTGGTTGTTATTGATCAGTTAGTCTGTTGTTAAAGATCGTTTAGTTTGTTGTTAAAGATCGTTTAGTTTGTTGTTAAAGATTATTTAGTTTGTTGTAAAGATCGCTTAGTTTTTTTTAAAAAATCGCTTAGTTTGTTCTTAAAGATCGCTTAGTTTGTTGTTGAAGATCTCTTAGTTTGTTCATAAAGATCGCTTAGTTTTGTTGTAAAAAGATCGCTTAGTTTATTGTAAAGATCGCTTAGTTTTTTCATAAAGATCGCTTAGTTTGTTCTTAAAGATAATTAATTTTTTTCCTTAAGTTAGATTAGTTTGTTCTTAAAGATCTTTTAGTTTGTTCCTAAAGAACATTTAGTTTTCTGTTAAAGATCGCTCAGTTTATTCTTATAAATAATTTAGTTTACTATTAAAGATCATTTGTTTTGTTCTTAAAGATCATTTAGTTCGGTCTTAAAAATCGTTTAGTTTGTTCTATTAGATCGTTTAGTTTGTTCTTAAATGTCCCTTAGTTTGTTGTTAAATATCGTTTAGTTTGTTCTCAAAGATCGCTTAATTTGTTCTTAAATGTGGCTTAGTTTGTTGTTAAATATCGCTTTCACTGATTATTAAAATGACCGAAAACCTGAGTCACTTTCGGCCGGATGGCCGAAAGTCTAAGTCAATTTCGGCCGAAACCGAAGAAAAACCGAAAGTTAACTTTTCTCTTTCTGTCGAAACCGAAATTAAGCCGAAAATTAACTTTTCAGTTTCGGCCGAAACCGAAACTTGGCCGAAAGTGATAAAATGGCCACTTTCGGTGCCGAAGCCGAAGCCGAAATTCGGTCAGTCTCTAGACTATATACACTTATAATTTATTTTTAAATAATGTAATTACCAGTCAATTTTTAAGATTAAAATTTTACTAGAGAAAACATGATTGTTTACCTCAAATAATTAATATAAATCCCCCCCCCCCCCCTTGTCAACAACTGTCAAACCTCCCCCCCCCCCCCTTTTTTTTTTTTTTGACGTAATTAATGGACGCCCCCTTAAGACGGCACTGCATACAGGGATAATTCAACGAGGTGGCTATTCGGACCCGGGTCCGAGAAGTGAGAGGTTGGGATTGAAATTAAAAATATATAAGATATATTTATTGTAGGGTTTGTAAGACAAACTTTGGTATCAAATAAAAGATAGTTGAATGGACTATTTAATTGTTAAATATTTTTTAATAAACCCAAACTCTCACTTCTCGGACCCGAGTCCGAATAGCCGCAGCCATAATTCAATCCCTAGAGCTTAGTTGATTCCCCCAGATCTGGGAACACACTGCGGGAACAAAAAAATGTATTTATATTTAGATTCAACTACCGGACTTAATGGGAAACGAAAAAGAATCCAATGAATATGACAGGTCATTATCATAATTATAGTCATCAAATAACATAGTGTATAAAAATTGAGCAGTGCTATTTTATTCAATTGAATTAAAGTACCGGTACAACCCATAAAAAAAAAAAAAAATTGTTTTAGCCCATAGCTTTGATTGAGTTAAAATTTTGTTTTACGTTCCGGAAGTATCATGACGTTTACAAAAACCATAACTTTTCCATTGGACAGACAATTTTCGTGTGGAAATAGAAGAATTACCAACAAATATTTAAAGTGTAATCTATTTTAAAATGATTAAAGCAATTTTAGTTTTCAACAACCACGGAAAGCCACGTCTTTCTAAATTTTATCAATTTTATGTAAGTATTAGTCATTGGTAGAGCTAAAAGTTGACGCCCACTTTTCATCATATTTTTTTTTAACTTTCCTGTTTCTGACTTTTCAATCGACTCCAATATTAATATTAAATT